CAAGAACACTAACGAAAGTTTGTACTTTGGGAAAGGGATTAAAAGAAATATGAGAATTGACGGTGCTCGCACGACGTCCAAGAGATCCTATACGAACGACCGAGTGGGATAACCTAACTCTTGGACCGGTTCTCTTTTATATCGTGCTATACCCCACTCTTTCTCTCTCTCTCTCTCTCTACTTACCAACTCTCGATCCACGAGACTTTTTCATAACGTTATCGTGCAATTAAAAAATGCTGTATAAGCCATTTTTTTACATTTCGATTTTTCATGCCATTGGATGATTCCCCTTTCCCGACAAGGGAAAAGGGAAAAGGGAAAAGGAGAAAAAAATAACTACTGTGATGGTATATACCAGTATGCAATATATACCATAATATAATATAACGCATAACGATAAATATATTGTATTTAAATTTATCATTATTAATTTATAATGTTAAACACACAATTGGAAAGCTATGAAAAAAGACGATGCACAAAATCATTTTTTTACTTGTTGACTTTTACAAAATCATTCGTCAGGTTAGTCAGAAAGGGGTTGGTTGCGTTAACTCGATATGACGAAAGGTATTCACGTGTGTAGAAAAGCGTAAGATCGTAACGATCGTAACGATCGTAAGCGATTGTGTTGTAATTGTATGAAATTGCTTTTAAGTTAGGTAACAAAAATAAAAAGTGTTATGATATCGATGTTTATTTGCTTTCGTACATCGAACTCTTGAACGAATTAGGGTAACGCCTCGAAACTAACGCTCGATTATTCCTTAACAACAACAACAACAACAACAACACAGATATATCTATGTAATTACGTAATGAATGTTATTTATTCGGAAAATTTCTCCTATACAGACACTTTCGTACACTTTCGACCGTTCGAAGCAACTCCAAATTTGTACAAAATTTGTATTAAAAATCGGAATTGAGAGTCATCGAAACGATCAAATAAGTCACCGTGCCAATAAACTGATGAAATTTGTTCAACATGATACGAGACGTGCTTGATACATCGATCTTTTCCAACAGAGTAGTATGTTTATCGATTAACAATCGAGTTGATACGTTTTTCTATCAAAAGAAAAGAAAAAAATATAAAATCGAGCAATTTTAACGATTCGTTTGAATTTGAACAAACTATTAACATTTTGCCAAAATTTAGATCCATTCGTGTCTCGAGCTATTCTAATTGGAATATCATGAAAATGTTGATTCGCATCGCGACAATCTTGCCTTCGACAAGAACGACTTAAGAGACTTTTAATGATATCTGCAAGTTCTTTAATAGTACATATGCGACGATCAAGAGTCGAAGCTTCTGGTCCATCGGCAAAAAATGACAGATACTTGATATCATCCCTGGAGCATAATTCTGTCACGATGACGAGAGTATCGGATGAAGAAATCTGATGAAGAGATTGTAAAGAAAATATCGTAGATAAAGCGTTTGTAAAGTGCAAATTTATAAAAAGTTCATAAAAATGAAAAGAAGAAATTGACTTGGTAATGCAAGAGATCCATCACAGAGGTAAGTTCGTTTTCCGGAATAACAAGTACCAGCATGTAACCTTTGTCACCTGAAATTATTTTTAGATTTTTCATTGTTCCATCGAGCAAGTCAATATAACTCATTCGTAAAGACGAAGAAGATTCTTGAAAGGAAAATTCATCGTCCATTTTATTGGTAGATCCATTTAGAGAATCGATAATCGCTCGAAATAAAGCAGTTTTAATGTTGCTAAATAAATCAAACACGTCCCATAAATTGCCATTACTCGAAACATCTTTTCGATAATACTTTTGTAAATTCGTATAATTTCCTTGTTGCGAATGAAGGGAACGTCGTAATGATGAGTCGTCGTCGTCGTCGTCGTCGTTGTCGTCGTCGTCGTCGTCGTCGTCATCGTCGTCGTCGTTGTCGTCGTCGTCATTCTCGTCATCGATATCGGATACGAAGGGAATGGAGAAATTGATAGCTGACAAAACCCCTAAATTAAAAATAGTCAATGATTATTGCATTGTGAATATATGTATTTAATATAACTTACTAGTCGTCATATGTTTAACTCGACGAGACCAAATCAATAATTCAGATACTCGTGTACGTAGTGTTTGCTGACATTCGCATTCGTTCTCTTTTCTCCCAGAAATTCGCAGAAATTCGTTCAATTCTATTTTTATAGGTCCGTTCTCTTCCTGATTGTCGATCTAATTAAATGAATCTAATTAAAATATAAAATAATTGTATTTTTATTTGCATTGATTGTTTGAAATCGTTTGTAATATTCGTACTTGAAAATATCCGTGTACTGGAAAGGAATAAGTTTGCTCGAAATCATTCCAAAACTCGTCTCTTATTTGTCCAGTCGTGTCAACGAGAGTCAAAATAACATTTCGTAGAATGTTCTTAGAGAAAGCCATGCTTGAGTTATGTTCCAAGAAACTAGTGTTAGTTTTGATCGCAAACAGTTCTTCCGAATTTTTTAAACCTGTCCCTAATCTTTTTTTACGTTGAATTTCCTTCGCGTGGTTTATAGTCATTTTTTCGTCAGACTTAGTCCCCAATGTAGCCAATTTAGCGCCATACAAGCTATCGTTCAGTATCCTTTTGTGAGACACATTTTCAACCGAATTAAAGGATTCTGGTATTGTTAAGAAGGACGGAATACCTATTAAAAAATCTATTTCTATTGAATTAAGTTATTTGTTCTTTAGCGATAAAAGTGCATACCTGAACGACCAATCAAAAAACAACTGGATTGAGAAAAGATTGTAAAAAGTCCAACGAAACAACTAACTAATAATAAACTAATTCCCAACATTTTAGTTTACGAATTAGGTTACTCCAAGTTTCATACAATTGTCAGCTTTTCTCTTCTTATCTCCAGATAAAAAAAAAAAAATTCAAAAGAATAACGTTAAAATAAGTCAATTCCAAGAGCAACGGACAAATGACTCGCATCGCAGTAAAATGATTTTTTGTTTTTGGTATTTTCGATAAATCGCGCTCGATTAAAATCGATTATTAAAAATTAATTGTATACTTTGTATTATTATAATTAATGACGCGTATTCGACAAAGCTAACAATAAATTGCTTCAAACTAAGTATACAAATATAATTAAGAATTTGTCATTGAACAGTTGGTTGGTAGTATAACATCGTACTAGTACATTAACCTAAATAATAAAACATATTCAACTGTGTACACGCGAATGGGGGGGGGGGGTTATTCTGTGGCTCTCTTTTAGTCGATACGATGACATATTTCATGCCCGTGCCCGTGCCCGTGCCCGTGCCCGTATTACTTAGGTCACTCGAATTATCGTATTTCCTTCTATTCGCGTATTATTATTTTGATACAAAATTTAAGTCCATTTAATTAATAATTACTATATCTGTAATACTTTTATTTTATTACCTAGAAATATTATGATTACGATGTAAAGAAATATTATAAATAATAATTTAATTGTGAGCTATTATAAGAATATTCCTAGTTCCGGCATTCCTTTTCCGTCATTAAAACTAGAAAGAAGAAAATGAGTTTTGTACAAGTTGAAAGTCGTTTCTTCTCGATTTCGTCGGTTTCGATGAAAAGTCTAGGTACTCTCGACTTGAGTCGCATGGAATTTGAATTATTAAAAACACGTGTCTATAGAAGCTGCTACGACAATAAAAGAAACAACATGGTGTCAAGGGACGCTCCGCAGGGGTCGGTAGAATGTGTCTACGCCTGGTTACCGGCACGCGATTGGTCCACGTTTGGCGCTTTTAAGATTGGAAGGGGTTTTCTTGGCTGTCTGTCGGATGTTTAGTTGTTCATTGTGGGGAGTTTCATAGAAAGTAGAGGGAGAACTAAGGGAAAGAAAGAATAGAAAGAAGAAGAGGGTGGCAAGTAAGTAAATCGCTCTTGAAGGTGATACAAGACTGACTGTGACAACGTCCAAGAAACACATAGTCGCAAAAGAAACACAAGTCAAATAGTTCAATTGTTAGGATAATAAAATAAAAAAATATTTTTCTTAAGTGACTCCCCCAATATATCGTATATCTCCTTACATATATATATATATATATATTAACATATATAACTAGTGTTGTTTAACTTATTATTTTATCTCTTGACTGTGAATAAAAGCAACCGTCAAGGTAAGCCACGATACTTTTCCAATCGCAACATGATCGATATAACGTTTTGCCTAAGCTACTAGGATAGAAAAATGGAAATATTCAAACTTTGATCGTTATTGTAGATGAAGTTAAAACAACAAGGCTTGGTAGCTGATTTGTTGCCGAATATTCGCGTTATGCAATTCGGTGGACATTTTATGTTTAATTATGTTGAAAATTCGACGAAATTCATGCAGAAAATATATTGCTGCGTGAGTATCTTCTGTACATATATAATTATGTACTAGTTACTATACTAATACCAACTTACTACTTAATCATTTTGTCAGGTTCATTTATTTTTGATCCTCCTCCAATTCGGTCTCGCTGGGGTAAATTTAGCCCTTGAGAGCGGTGATGTCGACGATCTTACTGCTAATACAATTACTTTACTCTTCTTCACACATCCTGTCGTTAAAATAATATATTTTGCGGTCAGGAGCAAGCTCTTTTATAGAGTACTGGCTATTTGGAATAATCCAAATAGTCATCCATTATTTGCCGAAAGCAATGCCAGGTATCACGCGATAGCATTGAAAAAAATGAGAACTTTGCTCTTCGCCGTTGGAGCAACAACGGTCTTTTCGGTTTTTGCCTGGACTGGTATTACGTTCGTCGGTGATTCTGTAAAAAAAGTCACCGATCCTGAAACTAACGAGACCACTTTAATGGAGGTAACAGTTAATGAAGATTTTTCTCCATTCGCATGAACTTTGTTATGTCATTTCATCAATTACTTTGATTAATATACGATTATACAGATTCCTCGATTGATGCTTCGTTCTTGGTATCCTTACGATCCGAGTCATGGCATGTCACACGTTATGACCCTGGTATATCAATTCTATTGGTTATTCTTCACCATGATGAACTCTAATTCTCTCGACGTTCTTTTTTGTTCGTGGCTCCTTTTTGCCTGCGAACAATTACAACATCTCAAGCAAATAATGAAACCCCTGATGGAACTAAGCGCAACTCTTGACACGGTTGTACCAAACAGTAGCGAATTGTTCAAGGTATGAAAAAGATATGAATATAATTATGATCAAGACTATAAGTGGATTATTGATACGCATCGAAATTCAAGGCTGGAAGTGCCGAGCATCTGAGAGATACGCAAGGTACTCAACCACCCCCGCAACCTCCGCCAGGCGGTGAAAGTATGCTGGATCTTGACCTCCGTGGTATATACAGCAATCGACAAGACTTTACGGCGACCTTCCGACCAACGGCAGGAATGACATTCAATGGTGGTGTAGGACCGAATGGATTGACCAAGAAACAAGAAATGCTCGTTAGAAGTGCTATCAAGTATTGGGTGGAAAGGCACAAACACGTCGTTAGGTGAGTTACAATTTAATGTTTAAGATTAAGAGTTTATTACGTTATTAATGTTAATTAAAAAACAGAAAATAATTACAAAAAAATACAAATACAAATTACAAACAACGTTAGGATACGCATTAGATTGCCTAATATATGTAATATATAATCACTTAAGATTTTACGTGGAAGTAAACAGGTCTCTCTCTCTCTCTCTCTCTCTCTCTCTCTCTCTCTCTCGTGGCCGGAATATTTCGCGTGTCGGGTGTTCGATGAATGCATGGTTTGTGCCTTTTCCCACGACGATAAAGTATTTATTCTAAAACAGCGCGTTATTGACCGCAACGCGGGACGTGCCCTACAGGCTGAAACAATTCGTTGGACAATTCACGGGGTGTATGTCTGTCGTAGACTGTACAACGAGTGTATAGTTCACGCATATACACTTTTGCTAAGGTTTCATCGATGTTACAGTCGCATTAGTTCGAAACGTAGGCAACAACAACAACAACTACAACTTCTGATGACTAACTTAAGTAAAAACATTTTGCGTTCTTTTCAATATGAACATTAAACACAAAGTTCGAGGACTCGATTAAAAATATCCATTTATTAATTCAATTATTCAATTTCTTTCTATTTGACGAATTGGTCGAAAATCTTGATGCCTATTGCAAATAAGCATTATTGTTAATAATCAGTCTAATTATTCAAATAATATCTCTCTGAGAAGAAAATAAATATTATAGTAAGGGGTTCCCCGTTCTTTAGCTTTAGTTGCACGATATGATTGGATATCTGGGTCAAATTAAAACTTGTATTAAGACTAGTATTCTCTCAATCTCTATACAGAGACACTGTACTGGTAAAAAAAAAAAAAGAGTCAGTAGCTAAGAAAATGGAACAACTTTCTTTCGATCTTTTCTTATTCATCTTTAACTTAACTTGTATCGAACGCTCCTACATAGTAGGAGAATTTGTTTGTATTGATATTGATTGACGACAAATCTTTGTAATCAAACTATTTCAACTAATTGAACTTTTCTTGTATATGTCATTTGTACAGATTGGTTACTGCGATCGGAGATGCTTATGGTATAGCTCTATTACTTCACATGTTGACAACTACCATCACGTTGACGCTTCTCGCATATCAAGCTACCAAGGTAAACTTTGACGATCAATGGATAATTAACCGAATTACGACACTTATTCACTTTTTTCTATTATCAGTGTCGTTTTTTGTTCAATTGTTTTTCAGGTAAACGCCGTTGACGTCTATTCAGCCACGGTAATAGGTTATCTCTTGTATACTCTCGGCCAAGTCTTTTTATTCTGCATATTCGGTAATCGTTTGATAGAAGAGGTACGCTTTTTTTATATTTCAATTGTCAAATCACATTTCACTTGTCAATCTTTCAATATAAATATTTCAACTTAAATTTAACAGAGTTCATCCGTTATGGAAGCTGCTTATTCGTGTCACTGGTACGATGGCTCCGAGGAGGCCAAAACTTTCGTCCAAATTGTGTGTCAACAATGTCAAAAAGCAATGTCCATCTCCGGAGCTAAATTTTTCACAGTTTCTTTGGATCTTTTTGCTTCCGTAAGATAATGATTTGCAAATAATGATGTAAATAGCTGATGTATTTATAATCACGAGATTTATGGTTTTTTTTTTTCGTATCTTTTTAGGTATTGGGAGCTGTCGTGACTTACTTTATGGTGTTGGTACAGCTCAATTGAATGATCGATTATCTTATTGTAACTATATATCTATATATATATTTAAATTTTCCGAAAGAATCAAAATTCAAATTTCTTATTTGTCAATTAACGATGACGACGACGACGAACGACGACAAACGACGACGGACGATGACGGACGATGACGGACGATGACGGACGATGACATTATCTTTAATAGAAGTAATACTCTCTGTGCTGCATTAACAGTTTACGTAAGAGAAATGTTGAAATAAATACGGGGGGAAAATATTACGCTAAAATCACCGGAAATATGTGTCAGTTTGTTGGACGATAGGAGACACGAAGGTTCTTTTAAAGTTTTGTTTGATCATTGCATTAGTCGACTAGGAATATCAGACAATAGTATCTCATCAATATAAAAGAGAAATTCTGTGATTTGCTTACTCACTTCTCGAAAATCTCGTTAAGAAAAAGAACAAAGATGCAAGATTAATTTCTTATATACATATAATTGCATATAATTTGCATTTTTGTTCTATTCATGCGACGTCGATGTACGATAGTAGTGTATAGATAGGAAGATAAATGGATTTTACGTATACGTAAAATAAATAATATTCAGATAATAATTTGTAATAAATACAGTACAATAATTACATAGATGTTTTAATGGTAATGTACATTTTTCTCTATAACTTGCACGATTAATATTAACTCGTGTGGTTGTGAAATTTCTTGTCCAATGAGATTAAAAATCTTAAACTTAACAAAATTTATCTACTTATTATTACTGTTATTAAATATAATATTTACTGCGATTCGTTTTGTTTCTATTAATAGAAAACTTATAACATACACGTACAATTAAATCGATTTAATATATTATAATATATAACGTATCTTTAAATATTTCATGAACGTTCAGTATTACAGAATTGTCATTTGTGTGAAAGTGTAATTATATTTATGTAATAAAAATCTTTCTAAATGAAGATTAAAAAAAGTTTGGATCGTTTAATCTCGTTCGTTGTAATCATATGTATGTATAATGATTGAATATAAATAAAATTGGCGCGAATGTGGGTGCACACATGCGCAGAATAAGAGTGACTCGGTCGAAGGGTAGTTTCGATCGTTTCGAAAGTCGTCGACGGACGGACGTCTCGCTGAATAGGTTTCTCGTGCATGGTGGTGGTGACGGTGGTGGTGACGGTGGTGGTGGTGGTGGTGGTGGGGCTGCTGCTGCTGCTGCTGCTACTATTACTACTGCTGGTGGCTGTACTTGGTCCAGCTCATCTTCCTTCCAATTCCCATTCGTTTTCTAATTCGCGTGTTACGTTTATGGAATCGTCTTACCTTTGTGTGATCAAATGATAAAAAAAGTGTTAATACCCAAAAGTCAGAACAATACTAAAGAAAATGAAGAAAGTTCGTAGCTTATTATCAGAATGCTGCAACTCATTTCGAAACGACGAAAAGATTTTCTTTGGGAAATCGTTCAACGATATTTTACAATAAACGACGAACAATACACGACGAGACGAGACGAGGCGAGAAAGGAGGGAAAGAAGAGCAACAGCTACGCATGAGATATCCCTGTATACGACGAACGCGCGTCTTACATTTAAACAAAAAAATTGTAAAATAATATTAGTTTGTCGAACGGCAAACTGCGCACAATCAATTATTATTAATCGTTAATCATCGTGTTGTATGGTGTTTGAATATAGTTTATAGAATATTGTTATCGCGTTATCGTTAATAAGATAAACTTGGCTCCTACAATTACAAAGCGTTACGTAATTGTCAGAATAGTGAAAGAAATGATCTCGCTTCTCTCCCTCCCCCCTTTGTCTTTCTATAGTACCTTCAAAGGAAGAAGAATCTATTTTCTCCAATTAATGAATAAAGATCATTAGTATATTTTTGTTATCGTGATCGACAATAAAAAGCAACGTAAATTATCATCGTAAGGAGGTATCATCGTAAAACGAATGAAATTCAAACAAACAAACAAACAAACAAACAAACAAACATAATTCAGGTTTATGCATTAACGAGGCAGTACAAAAAAATGAGAAAAATACAAAATTCGACACAATCGACATTAATCGACACAAGTTCTTGCTTTTCTATTTTCTTTTATCGAGAAGCAGGAGGTATATCGTTGTAAAAATAATCATAGAAAGAAACAAAAGCGAGTTTTTATCTCGTTTATTATCGTAAAGGGAGATTCGATTTGGAAAGTGCAGAGGGAAAAAGTAAGAGCAAACAGATCTATAAAGGTCTATCTATAAATCTATTTTCAAGATCCATCTTTAACCATAGGGACAAAAACTGCGAGCGGCAGAAGGAGGCGAAGCCTCCCGCCGCCCAAAAAATGCCGTAAGTATCAATCATTTTTTAATAATACCATTTTCCATTTTACCATTGAATCGATATTGATGAATCAATCACAAATCATGATAAACTTATATAAATATATATGATTTATATGAAATACAAATGATCAAGTAAGAATAAATATATCTACACTATCAAATAGTATTTTTATTTAACCATGCAGAGTTGTATGGTATATAATAATAATATTTACACCAATTTGTTTTCATCTTTTGCAGCACTGGATCTAGATTACTTGGAGAGGAGGGCCGGTGAGACAATAAGCTGCGAAAACGTGGAAAGCGGATCGAAAGAAGAGGAAAGCCCGGCAGACAGTCTGGATCGTGTTAAGGTCGTTTTCCTCGGAGCACCTGGCGTGGGAAAGACCAGTATAATTCGTGTGAGCTTTTCTTTCTCTAATTAATGTATAATTACAGAATTTTATTTGATTCCATAAATATTCGTTATTTCGTCTTAGCGAGAAAGAAAGAAAGAAAGAAATAAATAAATAAAGAAAAAATGACTATAGATAGGAATGAATTCTGTTCATTTTCGGAGGTAATTTCCGTCAGCTAACTAACCATAAAAGATATTTTCTTGATTCACTTTAGCAATTCGTTTGGAGCGAATTCTCTGAGGAATACAGGCCCACTAAAAAACGTGAGACGTTTTACCCGAGCGTTGTACTGGCCGATCGACTGTACGAATTGAAAATCACAGATGTACCTACGATTCCATTCTTTCCTATCAGTTCGCACCTGGAATGGACGGATTTCCGTTATTATGGACTACGTAGCGCTACCGCCTACGTTCTCGTATTCGATCTGAGCAATCAGGATACCTTCCAAGTACGTATGTGGCGGTATAACCGATAATTATTAATGCTAATAATATTCTATCAAGAAAATTCAAATAATATTGCATTATGTTTCATGTTGCGTGTCAGTATATCAGAAAATTACGCGAGCAGATCCTCGAGGCGAGGGACATGAGAAGTGTATCTCTTTTAGTGGTCGGTAATAAACAAGATGAGCTATCAAGCAGCGTAGCTTCCAGTGCTAGGTACAAGAATATTGTCAATGTCGTACGAAAACATTGGAGATGCGGTTACGTCGAGTGCAGCGCAAGATTCAACTGTCGTGTCGTACAGGTCTTATTCCTTTTTCAAACTTTTCTCTTTTATTGCGCAAAACAACATTTCTCTCTCTCTCTCTCTCTCATCTCTTCGTTTTGACAGGTTTTTCGAGAATTAATGAAGAGTATTCAAGCCGTGGAAGGAAGACCGCCATCACCGATACCTGCACCCTCGTCGTCCTCGTCGTCACAACCTTTGCGTTCTCATCAACATGACAATGCCGAAAAATGTATTCTTCTTTGACACTGAGATCACATAATGGACGTAATCGATCTTTGCGATCGCATTTTAGCGAAAAACTCTTTCTTCTCCGACTCGAAGAAGGATTCGCATTGATTTACTCCTTTTTTCATTGGCTAAATATTGTTTTTCATTTTCTTCTTCTTCTTCTTCTTTTTTCTTTTTTTTTTTTTTTTTTGTTTCTTTCTTTATATTACTCATCAAACGTGTGATATCGTTGTGATAATCAAACAATTTCATGGTACTATACAACATAGTACAATGCTGCAAGGGTTACTCGCGCTCGTCAATTGAAAATATAAGAAATCGTTTTGTTTCTTGCGAGAACCAATGTTAAACAATGCATCGTATTATAATATGACATTAGAATTTTCATACGTAGAGAGAAAAAAGAAAAAAAAAAAAGAGAAAAAAAGAAAGATACATATAATAGATAAAAAAACAACGATAGATTACGTACTAATCAAAAATTGTACAATTGAAAATGAACGTGTGTGTAAGCGTGTAAACGATTCGATTAAACCAATACCCTATTTAAAAGGATTAAGGAGAAAAAAAAATAATTTGTAAAATCGCTTCTTGACCCACCCTGTATAAAAAGTGTGAGATGATTAATCCTTGATTAGATAAACACGCACGCGTACGCACACGCACACACACAAAAGAAGCAAACACGTTCACGCATACATGCACGAACGTGATTCGAATAAATGTTAGGCAATTTTGAGAGAATTTTTTGCCGACCGGTTGGTTGCTAAGCAATGTGTACATGAATCATTTTATAAAGCTTACTCGAGTTGGTCTCTGTCTGTCTCTCTGTAGACGACAGTTCTTAGTGTTGACTCGAATTGTGAAACGTAATGCGATAACGTAACGTAGAAGATCAAATAACACAAATCCATACAAAAGAAAAATAAAGAAGAGAAAAGAAAAGAAGAAAACAAGAAAAAAAGAAAAAAAGAAAAAAAGAAAAAAAGAAAAAAAGAAAAATATATTACAAAATTATATAACTGCCGAAATCTGTAAACGCGCACGAGATTTAACAATAGCGATCATTTAATCTCATCACATTGTAGGTAATTCCTAATTCTTTTTGATTTTCGGCCTAAAATAATATTATAATAGAAATGGGCTGTCGGGAGTTACCTCACAGAAGCAATAGTATACACATCTATTTTTTAAAATAATTACTGTTAAGATAATTAATCATTATTATGTACGAGGTGGAAAAGAAAGAACAAAGTAACAAAACAGTAAGAAAAAAGTAACAAAAAAAAGTAATAAAAGAATCGTAGCAATTCTGACGTCGTTTGCGAATGGACATTGAATAAATGTGTACATATATACATGTACATATATGCATGTATACGGTGCATGTGTGTTAATAAATATCGTTGTTATATACATACGTAACATGAATATGAAGAAAAGAAATTTATATTTTAGCTTGTAAGGATAAAAAGAGTGAGTTGACTTTGTGATATACATACTATATATTATATCACATATATATATATATATATATATATCGTTGTTTATTGGTTCCGGTTGTTATTCCATCGGATTGTTATTTAAAACAATTTATACAACGTATGTATGTCACATACATGCTGCTGCACACGACGACGCGTAAATCGATTACTAAACCACATCCATAGGTTTGTGTTTATATATGTGTACATATATATGTAATACATGTGTGTATATATATATATACACAGACACAGCACATATGAGATACAAAAGACGTATTTGTTGAAAATCTTTGTACCCACAGGAAAGAAAAGTGTTATTTTATGTGTGAAACGTGACTCTTTTATTTTCTATTCTAAAGTCGTACAATAAAAGATTCCAAGGAGAATCATCTTTTTTGTTGTAACAACAGAATTATTTCTTTCATTTAACCGATATCCTTTGTATATCGTTTGTCGCACGCACGCACACACACACACACACAACTACACACGCATATGTTCTTTGTTTTTGTCATAATCATGGCCGAGCAATGGGCTCAAAAATTATCCAAATTATCATAATGTAATGAAATCGTTCAGTATATTCGCGCTGAAAAGAAATTTCTACATTGAATTTATTATTTTCGCTATGTCCGAACTGTCGAGAAGACAAATTTGACAAAATGTTTTTCGTGAAAACTTATCGAAATCAAATTGTATCGAATAGCCAAAAAAGAGGTTACACAAATACTAACATTCATAAATCTAATTTCAATATAGGACAACGATATTTACTTAAGGTTTTATCATAATCACAATCATTGTAATGATAATCATCCTATATTGATTGGATATAAAAAGAGATTTTTTTGGAACGAAGGTCAGCACAACGAGAGGCATTCCGAGTACGAGTACAAATTTGAAAGAAGCTCTTTGCGAAAAAATTCCGATTCATTATGATCTTCTTAGAAATTTTCGAAAAGAACACGGTCAATCCGTGATCAGTCGTATTACTGTAAACAATATATACGACGGTCTTCAAGGTGTCAACATGATGGTCAGGGAAACATCAGAAAATGATCCCAAGTATGGGGTAATATTAACAATTTAAAATTACTTAGATATATCATGATTTTTTTTTACAAACGTTATGTGTCTAATCTTAAAAAGGATAAACACACTTATCTGACTATGATTAGATCAGGTACCGTGGATTGACTATCCCAGAAGTTTTAAACCTTCTTCCACGTCGAGGAACGTCTCCAAGCGTAGAAGCTGTTTTTTGGTTACTCTTAACCGGCGACGTACCTACTCAAGAACAAACAACTTCGTTAATCAATGATTGGTCATCTCGACGACTAAGAAGAAAGGAATGGTGGTCAGGACCAAGTGGTGGAATCGTTGGTTCTGTTCTTCAAAACTTACCAGACAACGTGACACCATTGGGAAGACTGTCAATCGCCTTGACTATACTTGAAACAAATAAATATACTAAAAAAGCCCTCGAGAATGGAGCTCCGAGTCATACTCATTGGGAGGTAATAGATAACTAAAAAACGTGTCTTGCAACAAACAGAGTGTCAAATGTGACAACTTTTTCATATGTCAAAAGATACAAGACTTCTAAGTACTACTTTCTCTTTTATTTCTAATAATAAGCATATTTACGAGGACAGTATGGAACTATTAGCAGCGTTACCAGCCATCATCGGCCTCGTTGGTAAAGGTCGAGAGTTGAGAAACGTGACGGAAAAAGGTGACTGGATAGATTTTCTTTTAGAATGTTTGAGCAATACTTCGGAGGATTTGAAAGGCAGAACAACAACGTCTATTGGAGATTTTCTTCGTTTATACGTCAGCTTAAATGCGTATGTTTATAATTAAATAAGTATTATTCTAACATATATACCATATATACACAGATCAAACAAAGTTGTTACCTCTTTTTATTGCTCATGAAAACTATACACATTGCATGTTGTACCGCACAAAGGGTACAGTTAGTAGTTGTTCATAAATCACTGAACATCATAGATCTATGAACATGGTACACGTCTATATTTAGGAGATTTTGGAACCTTTGTGCGGGTTTAGTGACATCTATGAACAGTCAACGTTTGTGTTCAGGAGATTTTGAAATCTTTGTGCGGGTTTAGTGACATCTATGAACAGTCCAACGTCTATGTTCAGGAGAAATCCTGGAACCGCGGTGATACAAAACTTTGTTTTTAATGTGTAGTGTATATACATAAAGAAGATATGGTATAAACGTGCCTTTTTAATCAATATGATCCTTCTTATTTCATTGATAGCATTTCAAATAACTAATGAAATAATAATGATAATATTTATTGATAGTTACGTTTGAACATTTAATTTAATTGTTTATTTAGCGACGAAGATGGTGGTGTACCTGGTGTTCATATAACACAAATTTCTGGAGCTTCGTATCTCGATATTAGTCAAGCGTTATCTTCGGGAGTTTTGATTTATGAAAATGAACCGATTACAGGAACTATGTCTCAGGTAAATCACAACTATAATACTACAATTTTCCATTGAAATATTAAAAACTTCATCTTTTTATAACCTAACTATAGTACATGGAATTTCAAGAAAAAATAAAAAACGCTTTGGGTACCGAACCCAAGGAAGAAATGTTACAACATTTTTTGCTTTCTTTTATGGAGGAAAATAAGTTGATTGGACACAAAGAAACTCGATTTCTCGATCCACGTTATGTGGCACTTTTAAATCATGTTAAAACGTATTTGCCTGCTAATAAGGAAACACAGGTGAGTTGTTGTTGTTGTTGTTGTTGTTGTTGTTGTTATTATTATTAAATTAACAATTACATTGATATAATTAATGAATTAATTATGAACAATTTTTCATCACATTGAATTCAGCTTTCTCAAGAGATTACACGAGTTTTGGCATTTCTCGTGAAAAATACAAAAAACAAAATTATCTTTCCAGAGCAAACCACTATTGCTGGTCCGATATTCCAGGTAATTTATAAATTCCACCAAATGGAATTAAGTCTTTTTCATTAAGTCTTCCTTCTTACATTAAGAGTAAATGGTTGATAATGCAATAACTAAATAATCTTTTCCAAGTTTTATGGATTGAAAGATATGAAATTTAATCAAGTATTACTCTGTATGTCTCGAGCACTGGGAGCAATTGCTTCCATCATTTGGACTAGAGCGATTAATGCACCGATCGAACAGCCAAAATCAAACAGCACTTATACATATTTTTATTCACTTAGAAATGTTCGTAACAAAATGAACAAAAGAATTCGAATTATTAAACAAATACCGAAAATAACTTGATAGAAAAAGTAAGTTACTGTAAATACTGTCCTGTCAATTATTTCTTAAACGAGATCTTTACACACATACATGCATACATACAAATGTAAATATATATTTTCTCCTGATCGAAAGAATAAAAATTCAATGTATTTTAATAATGAAATAATGTTCCAAATTGTTTCTACATTCGTATTCGTTTAAAATTATAATTACAATATGGCGACTCCCGCCAAACAAATATTTTCATTATCTACAGACGCGTTTCGCTTATGACTAAGCACAAATTATATATGCATAAATAGTGTTTCATAGCAAAATTACAATCTATTTTAAACTATAAACTTTCACTTCAAAACTCGCACGGTCTGTAAGATAGACAAGTAATGTGAGTGTGTGTGTGTGTGTGTATGTGCGTGTGTGTTACAAAATATTGAAAATTTATATTACCAGAGACAAATACAACACAATTATCGGCTCCTATAATTTGAGCTAAGAAAAATATTATTTCTTGCATTTTAAATGCAACAATATGTTTATTATTTGAATTTGAAATGTAACTTATTATCTCCATTTTTCTAATATAATTTTGACAAATTCATTCAAAATCATTCATTCAAAATATATAATGACAGAAAAAGAGAGATTAACAATTTTACAAAATAGATCTATTAGTTTTGAAACGAGTACTACTGAAACAAATCAAGTGGATCATTTGACTAATTCACCACCTGAATGTACAACTAATACTCCAATGTATGATTCTAATATAAGGTTACCTCGACATTCCAGAATTTTGGCTAATTTATCTTCCTCAGTTCAAGTAATTAAACTTTTCATACAACAAGTATAGCTCAATGTTATAAATATAAAAATTGTATTATATTTAATTACAAGTAAGAATATTGTATTATTTAATTAATTTATTAATTCTTCTTTTCTTTTTTTTCTTATAGAGAAATTATACTACATTTAGTTCTCTAGTAAATTTGCCAAGACTTCAGAATCAAACAAGAACCATTCTTAGTTCGACAAGTAACTATAATGTTTATAATCAAACAATGAACAATATTATTATAGACAATCAATTTGCACCTTGTAATCATAGTCATAGCCATAGCCATAGCCATAGTCGTCATCATCATCATTATCATCATCATCATCATCATAATCATCACCATCATATTAAAAATGATAATCCTTTAAATAATATGCATGAAGCAACGAATGAAATGGCAACAGAAAGACAAAATAATATTAATAATGGAAGAGTTGAAAATGGGCCCGAAAGAAGTCCGGAGACAGTACTATTACTAAGAGTATTGCAAAAATATTTCCCTTATATTTTAATCCTTTTAGTTAAAGGCGCTTATGATCAACGACTAGAAATAATTAATATTACTTTATTGTTCGTAACTTTCTTATATACCAATAATAATCTTAAGAACGAGATTGCCAAACAACAAAACAGAAGTTGGTTTTTGTTATTATTAATTATGTGCTTTATAGCAGGTTGTTTTTTCATCTTAAATGTTATTTTTGATATAAATGTATCTACGACTCAACCTCTTTCACTCTCAGAGCTTATATGGTCAGTAATTGCAACAGATATTATAATAAAATTGATCACTATTGCTTTTAAAGTGATCTTAACTTGTTTACCTCTAAGACTACTTGCATGTCACAAACGTGTAAGTATTTTATATACGTATATATTGTAAAATTTGTAAATCACACACACATACATTTATCTCTCTCTCTCTCTATATATATATATATAAATTTATACAAAAAATTATTGATAATGAATTTTTATCTAGGGAAAATATTATGTGATGTTAGAAGCTACATCTCAACTTTGTCGTCGTTTTGCACCAATTCAACCATGGATATATTATTTGAATGAAGCATATCAAGGTTCAGAAAAAATAGTAGGATTCATTTTAATTGCAATATATACTATCAATAAAATAAATGATTCGACAAAATCTTTAAAGTTCTTCCTTACAACATTATTGGGATTTATAAAGAATGAGGTATGTTATTAATTTTGGTTGCAGGTCAATTTATTAAGTAACATTATATAATTGTACATTTCATTTAGAGGTTAGGATCAAATCCATCTGAAGAGCAATTAATAAATTCTGGTGGAATATGTGCAATATGTCGTGAAGAATATAAAGTACCAATTATACTCAAATGTCAACATATTTTCTGTGAAATTTGTGTATTAACATGGCTGTCTACGGGAAAATTATGTCCAATGTGTCGTGCACCAATTACAGATGATGCAATTTACCACAACGGTCATACAACATTGTATATTCAAATGTATTGAATAATTGATTGTTATATAAATTGCAGGATCGAATTTATATCGCATGAAATATATAATTTATTTTTTTATCAATTTTTAAAAGTCGTCTTATAAGTATCATAATTTAGCTGTACATTGTTGACAAAATAACGATCAAATAATCACATGTCATCCACATCAAATGTGTTAATAATTACATATATATATATATACATATATATATATGGTATAACCATATGGTTGGTTATGGTTTTTTTTTTTTTAACTACATCGATCGATGGAGAAAAAATTAAAGAATATGCATATATGGCAAATAGCTGTTGTTGTTATTGTGTTGTAATGTTATTAGTAACTGAATGAAAAAAAAAAAAAGCATTCTTAATATTTTCAATATTTAATAACATAAGTTTTCCTTTATTAAAGTATAGTTCAGACAAGATATTATTTCATAATTTTATTATCATCTACAAGATTTGTCTAAACACGTGTTAAAGTATCTTAGATTGTAAGCTATTTTGTTGAAACATTACAAAATAGATATAATAATAGAGATTTAATAATAATACAGGATACTGACGTTCACAATAACTTAATAATTATTTAAAAAGCATAACTTTTATATATATATAAAAATAATTCACAAAATGTTTCCTTTTAATCGCGCTTGAAAGTAATCTCCGTCTCCTTTGGTAGCTTGTCTGTTTATTTCCTTATGACGTTCTCGGCTAACAATTTCTTCTATTATTTCACCTTCTCCTTTAATTAATCTAAAAAATAGTTATTATAATTTTATTATAGTATAGTATGGAATAAATAGAAAAAAGGAAAAAGGAAAAAGAAAAAGGTAGCCTAGGTAGATTACCTATATCTTCCTGTTTCCTCATCGTATACCCTGCGTATCAAATTTTGTTTTTTTTCCCATTCTTCTTTTGTAATAGGAGCCATTAGTTTGGCTTTCTCTGATATTTCAGGTGGTGGCATTTCCGTAAGAGTATCTTTAGTTTTTTCAGAAGTACGTTTTTTACTTTCAGTAGCCAAGGATTTTTTCAACTTCTTCTTCGAATTTTTCTTTAACTTTCTCTTCTTCCTATGCTTTTTCACATTTTTTTTCACTCTTTTAGCTTTTTTTTTCAGCTTTTGACGTTTTCTTTCATCTTCAGAAGAATCAGAAGAACTGCTGGTACTATTAGAACTACTGGTGCTACTACTACTGGTAGTACTGCTGGTACTGCTGGTACTGCTACTAACACTGCTAGTACTACTTGTACTGGATGAACTGGAAGAAGAGGAGGAAGATCTTCTTTTCCTCTTTTTTTGAGTACGATGATCAGACTTTCTCTCCAAACAATCAGCTTTTCTCTTTTCTCTAATCTTTGTATGCGAAGGATCTACAACATTGGTTTTGATATTATGTATTTTGTCTATTTTCAATGAACATTTATCTTGTTTGGAATTGCTGTCTCTAGAATTACTTTCTCCCACAAATTGATTAGATGCATCCTTGTTTGAATTTCTGTGATAATCAATATTTAAATCCTGATTATTTCGCGATGATCTATTGTAATTAGGTACTCTATTATTGTAATGCGTATAATAACTCCTTCCCTCATTATTACGCCTATAGTATTGATAATTGTTATACGGTATTCTTCTATTTCTATTATAAAATCTTCCATATTTATATGATCCTCTCGTACCTGTATTACCACCGCGTTCTCTGAAATTATGTGAGAACATATTGTAATTCCTTAAACTTTTATAGTTGTTTATAGACCTGTCCATTCTTTGCGGTACAGCAATTCCATTTTTATACTCTTTAAATGTGCGCTCATCACAATCTTTATTTTTTTTCTTCATCTTTTGCAATTTAGCATCGTGACTGGAAGTACTGGAAGAACTAGAACTACTCGAGCTACTTCTGCGTCTTGACTTTTTCCTTTTATCTTTACTGCACGCGCTTCTTCTCTTTAACTTATTATCAGATCCATCGCTGTTAATAGTTTGCTCTTGTTCCTTCATTCTGTGTCTACGTTTACTACTTCTCGAGCTTCTCTCGCACTTGCTTTCATTACTTTCTTTGCTACTCATTCTTAATTTTTAACCAAACATATATATATATATATATATAATCTATGAATATCCAAGTCCTTATAAACGTGATATAAACATAATACACGTATAATTATTATTACAAAACAAGCATTTATAACATATATGTGGAAGTCAATTCTGCTTCCATATTCACTTTTATTCCATTATTATATCTATTCAATTTTTACCTTTTACCTATTATTTATTATTTATTATAATTATTATGTTTTATTGTATAATAAGCAATTGTTTAATATTCTACATGTCATTGAAATAACACACAAATATTCAATTAATTATCATTTATTTGTAATTACACTATCAACTTTTACTTATACCGACCATTAACCTCTCTTTTTAATGATCAAACAGTTAATAACTTTAGAAAATAAAACTTAAACATAGAATGTCGCAATCGAACGATTGGATTATTTAACTATTTCTGCATGGATGTAAGATGAAAAGTTCAACCGACTTGATCGTTCTCAATTTCGAAAACTAAAGCGAGATTAAAGGCAACCCCTCATGTTTGTATACACTGATAGTGGACCATCTATATTTTACTATAACAGAGGTTTTCATCGCGCCAACAAATTATTTGACATAATAATAACGTTAATAGACGGTAAAAGTATTATTTTTATTTCACATGTGTGGAATACTATCCTATATTCACATATTAATATTTATATTTCAGTATAAACACACATATAATAGAAGATTTTTAATGGAAAGAAAAAGGAAAGAAAAAGGAAAGAAAAAAAGTCGTGGGAGGGGGAAGCACAAACTTTTAAGCAATCATTTGTTTTTCATGTTTCTTTAATTGCTATCAGTCAATGTAAAAAAATACATTACTTAGTTACCATTGAAATTTAAAAATTCATTGAAATGATATTTTGAAAATAATGACAAATACAAAATATGAACATTGAAATTACACTTGTAAGTATGTTAATAGTTTGATCAAAATAATGGCATCAGCAGCGCCAAGATGTTTTTGTAAGGACAAAGTTAGTTTGTATTTTATCATTATAATAGTTATTATTTAAGATTTCATTTGATATTTAAACATTTACCAATATATATTACAACAGGTGAGTGAGAAATTCAGCGATCTCGATGCAGCATCGTCTATTGAATTAAAAAAAATCATAGAAACACTCAGTGTGCCTGGAAAAGGTTTATTGGCTAGCGATGAATCACCCATGAGTTTAAATGATACATTTGGAGAAATTGGAATAGAAAATACAGAAAATTCTCGACGAGAATATCGACAAATGTTATTCTCTGCTTACAAGGTATACATTTGAAGGTATACAATTTTTAGGATAACAAAGGATGTATATTGATAAAGACGATTCCTACACAATCGTCGTAGCCCGAATTAACGAAATATATCAGTGGAATTATCTTGCATCATGAAACACTTTACCAAAAAACAACCGATGGCATCAACTTTGCCGAATTTCTTCAACAAAGAAACATTGTGCCTGGCATTAAAGTTGATCAAGGCCTAATTAATTTATGTGGTACCGAAGAAGAATTGACTACAGAAGGCTTGGACAATTTGAAGGAAAGATGTATTCAATACAAACGCGAAGGTTGCTACTTTACCAAGTGGAGATGTGTTTATTCTATTTCAGAGACGAAACCGAGTCAATTGCTCATGTCGGTAAATGCGAACACGCTTGCGAGGTAAATTATTAAATACACAATACCCCTTAGTACACAATATCGTAGATTCAAATCTAAATTTGAAGCCAGCTAATGTTTCTATTCAATTAGGTATGCAACTATATGTCAACGTGCCCGTTTGGTACCAATCGTAGAACCAGAAATATTAACTACTGGAGAACATAGCATAGAAAAAGCTTTGCAAATTCACGAACAGGTATTGTCCATTTTGTTTAGAGCTTTCAACGAGCACAGAGTTTATTTGGAGGGAATGATTCTCAAACCTGCAATGGTATTGCCAGGTGTTAAAAATATCAAAAAATATACACCACAAGTCAGTTGATAAGTACAAATATAATAGTAGTCATTTTATTCTGGAATTATTAACTGATAGATATTAAATATCAGTTGACTTATTTTTAGATTGTAGCTGAATACACTTTGAAAGCGTTACAAAGAACAGTCCCTCCGGCAGTACCAACGATTTTATTTTTAAGCAATGGACAAGCAACCGACGACGACGACGACCACGACCACGACCACGACAACGACAACGACTCGATATTAAATTTAAACGCAATAAATATGCTTGAAGGAAAAAAACCATGGACTCTGAGTTTCTGTTACGGTCGCTGCTTACAAGTACTTAGCTTATGTTTTATTATAATATATTTTATGATAATGTGGTATTAACGTATTTAATTAATTCAAGAATGAAGTTCTTAAAACTTGGAAAGGAAATGTAGCAAACGTGGAAGCGGCACACTCGATATTACTGGGAAAAGCTAAATTATGCTCCGAGGCATCACTTGGAAAATTAAGCATACAAAACGTGCGAGCAAAAAATATTTATTAATTACGAATAATCGGAAACAATAATAATGCATATATTTAAATGTTAACGAAAACAACGTTATCAATCGTCGTCGTCGTCGTCGTCGTCGTCGTCGTCGTCTATCATACGCGTGCAATTTTATCATTGTGTTATTTTTACAACGTAAGAAAAATATATTTACGCTTGAAATAAGAAAAACAATCTCACAACGGTTATCGGAGCTAACCGGACAAGCTATATGGCTTGCCTTTTGATATGCAAATTCCAATTATTTATTTTAATAATCGAAATAATGATATTTCGTGATATTTAGGTTCTCAACATGAAACATGTGTATTATTTTATTTGTTGATCCAATATCTTTGAAAATATTTAAGAATATTTAAGAGAAGATCTTGCATAATAGTGCATTAGTCTTGACAGTGAAAAAAAATGTCAAACATTTGAAGCTAGAATGTCAAAAGAAGGTGCCCTTGATTGACCTTTAAAGCGAAGGTTCTCAACAAAAGGTAACTGAGATTAAACGTGTGTGGATGATTCGTCAATTGTCTGCTACGTGCCAGCTGCATCGTATCATATGGACAACATATTACTCTTTTACTGGTTAATATTTCGTCATTCCCACGGAATTCCACCAATGAGAATACTTATTAGATGTTTCCTCGAATAAAACTGATCACGTGGTGCCATTCGAAATTTAAAAATAATTTCATCATTTCTTTTTTACTAAATACAAATATTTATTTAGGATATATAGAAATGAATTTAATGATGAAATGGTGAAATGGTATTAATGGTATTTACTATTTATTTGTAGTATCAAATTAATTTTGACACCTAATGTAAGAAGCAAGCAAAATATACAATAACATCATGTTTCTTTTGATAAAAAATATTAGGTTGAGCACCACTATGCAGCGGACACTCCCGCGCATGCGCGAATAATGTTCCACAGAGCTTTGAAATATTCGTGTTCCTTTGATTTCTTCAGTTGCTCTTGAATCCACCGGTAGAGGAGTTTGTTAGAATAACATTTGTGCATATTTTCGATAACGACAGTCAAATCTATCGAAATAATAGGTAAGTCGGAACTAGCATCGAAATTGTTGAATAAACGCTTATTATTATTGGCTACCTCGGCCAATCCACGAAAAGATGATTTAGAGTGAGAAAAGTTATACTAAATAATGGCTAACACTATGAAGCTTTGACCTTGACTGACATTCGACTGACATTCGGCCGCCACCCAATTTTATCGTATTCTTCAACTCAAATAATTATGACAACGCGAATGATAATATAATGGTTCTCTATACTGATATCGATTAAACCTTACTTTTCAATATTTTTGTCGCAGTGTAAAAATAAGAAATATTAAGTCTTAAGAATGTACGAATAATACATTTTTACAGAAATTTTTACAGAAATTTATACAGAAATTTATACAGAAATAATCGTCGTATAAGTGTTGTTCTTAGTGTTTCTCGTGCAATATAATTATATAATTATATTTTGTATTAGAAAATTGTCATACGAAAACTAACCTTAATTGAAAACGAAATATGATAACATGATTAAATGAAACGAAATTAATCTTGACACTTTGGACAATCGGTGATGAGCTTAAAATAATAAAAAAAGGATGCGTAGTAAGTCAATTCAAAGTACATAGTTCTTAGAATGGAACAATATATATATATATACGCATATGTTTGAAATTTTATTTAAAGGTAATGGACGATATTAAACAAATAGTGAAACTTGGCCAAGAAAGAAAACGTTAAGTGATGCCAACTTTTTAACTCGATATAGTAATAAATCCGTCTTATAGATAATAGTATTCCGTAATCATATTATAAAAGTAATAAATAAGACTGTTGCAACAGGACTTGAGATAGAAATGAGGCTTATGCGAATATAAACACGTTTAATACACACACGTGATGATTTTTCGAACTATTACTCTCGATTAATGTTTTTTTTAAAAAACATACTTGATACTCATTTCATTGAATTTAATTTACATTCGCTTGTTCCTTCGTTAGTATGAGTATTATAATACCGCGTGTTTAAGGAACCAAGAACAAACAGGTTTATCGTATTGCGCCACAACAATATATTTAAGTATTCAAATTTCTATACGATTGCGTGTATCGATTAGTTATAAATGTCGATAGATAATTAAAACTAATCAATTTTTCTATGCTATGTTGAAAAAATGTGCAAGATGCTGAAAGATTTTAACAATTGTCATTTGCCCTAATGATGCCAACTGATCAATATCTCAATCTAGGAGAAAAATAACGTCAGTTAAAGAAATATACACTTTCCCACTTATTTAGATCTAGGCAAGAGAAGACAGGTAAAAAGCTAGGAGCTAGGAGATTTTCGGATCACGAATTTAGGACATGTAAGAGGAATTATGATGGTATATACTTTGATTTTATTACGCGTGCATGCGAACGTAATGAGTGAAAAGAGTGTTTGCGCGTGCTCTCCTATATGTGGGAAAGAAAAAAAAGAAAACAGAAGCACGTGTACACATTTGACACTATTTGTCAACAGGGTTACGATGATATTTATGTTCAGTTAATTTTAGCAACTACTTTTCCTTTTAATGTTCTCTTATTTTTTAACTGACAATTTGCACAATTGATCATGATTTCCATTGGTAGAAAATGGTAGCCGAAAAGTATGATAAAGCCGTACCTGAGCTAAAGGAAGAATTGAAAAGGATTGCTGAGCAGATTGTAGCTCCTGGAAAAGGAATTCTTGCTGCTGACGAATCTACGACCACGATTGGTAAACGTCTAAAAGACATTAACGTAGAGAACAATGAGGATAACCGAAGAGCATACAGACAATTACTTTTTACTGCGGCAAAGGTACGCGATTATTTTTTCTTTTCAAAGTTTTAACTAAATTTAACTTGAAATGTTACTTAAAATAAATTATTATTTTAACAGGACGTCATTGGACAACATATCTCTGGTGTGATTCTATTTCATGAGACTCTATACCAGAAAGCTAATGATGGTACACCATTCGTCGAGCTTTTGAAACAACGTAACATTATTCCTGGTATCAAGGTTGATAAGGGTGTCGTGCCACTATTTGGTACAAACGATGAATGTACGACTCAGGGACTGGATGATCTTCAAGCACGTTGCATTCAATACAAAAAGGATGGCTGCCATTTCGCCAAGTGGAGATGCGTTCTTAAAATTACAAAGGATACGCCAAGCAAGCTTGCCATCTTAGAAAACGCGAATGTTCTCGCTCGTTACGCTTCGATTTGTCAGAGCGCAAGAATCGTACCGATTGTTGAGCCCGAAATACTTCCTGATGGTGATCACGATCTTGCCCGTTGTCAACAAGTTACAGAAGAGGTTCTTTCTGCTGTTTACAAGGTTAGAAAAATGCAACAGGAACAAACAATCACTATTTATCAACGAAGGGATTCCTAGCTATTATATCGTTTTAATATAATAACTTTTTAGGCATTGGCCGATCATCATGTCTATCTCGAGGGAACTCTCTTGAAACCAAACATGGTAACAGCGGGTCAAAGTTGTCCGAAGAAGGCAACACCTCAAGAAATTGCAGCAGCAACTGTAACTGCGTTGTTGCGTACAGTTCCACCTGCAGTACCTGGAATCACCTTCTTGAGCGGTGGACAATCCGAAGAAGAGGCCTCAGTGAACTTGGACGCTATCAACAAGTTCCCGGCTAAGAAACCTTGGGCATTGACCTTTAGCTATGGTCGTGCCCTTCAGGCCTCCGTTCTCCGTGCTTGGGCTGGTAAAAATGATCAAGTAACAGCGGGACAGGAAGAACTTATCAAGAGGGCTAAGGTAAAATCTTCTTTGCCTTTATCTTTCTTTGCGTTACTTTCTCTTTATAATATCTAATTATTTGTAGAATTCTTTCAATCAATGTGTGTAAGCCTATCCTCTTTAATAGTATTTACTTATTTACTTATTTATTTATTTATTTACACAAAGTACAATGGTAATGTCTATGTTCTAAATTAGTCTATTACTTTTCTATTACTTTTCTATTACTTTTCTATTACTTGTCTGCCAATGTGATTGTTTTATTAATACTATTACCATTACTAATACTACGATAACAAAGTTTATCATCTCTCTTATAATAGAATAGTGGTTAATTTGTTTTTTTGCATGTCCCCATGAATCTTATGCTTATTTAGGCAAACAGTGCTGCTTGCCAAGGCAAATACGTTGCTGGCAGTATTTCTAGCAAAGCTGGTGGCACTTCTTTGTATGTCAAATCTCATGCATATTAAAATTCTCTTTCCTTACTCTGTGTGTGTGACGCTGTTTATGTACTCTTATATATAACAGTGAGTATATGACAATATCTAAGTATTTATTTATAAAATATACAGTTTAGATTTATTTTCAAAGTTTTTGAAAGTCTTGCTTCGAAAGAATATCAATGAAAAAATTCATTTATATCTATCTTTTTGTTTCTTAACAATAGGCCAACAGCGAATCAGCACTTGGTAAATACGCGGGAGGCGTCACAGGAGCTGCCGGCGATGCTGCACTTTTCGTAGCGAATCACGCATATTAAAGAAATCTTCAGTATAATAATATTTTAGACATTCAGTTCATCCAATCGTCAAATACGATCATCGTCGATTCATTATTTCCAACGAATAATGGTGGACAATACAATAATAAGAATAAAGTGGAATAAATTGGACAAATTAATTAATCATCATCAAGAAGGGATCATCGTCGATGATCGTTACGACTTTTATCGATATTTTTCACGACTTTCGTTTGACTTTCGGCTTTATAAATATTTCATACAAGTAATCTGATATAATCTTCTATATTTAGTTATTTTAGATTTTCAAGATGTGTCAAATGTAATTGCGCACAATAATGATGTAGGAAAGTAACGTTGAAAAGATTATTAAGAAAACAAGAGAAAATGAACAAGTGACAATTTATGTAAAAAAAAAATGAAGTCATTCGACGAATTCGACGATGACGCGAGTTACACGCACGTTATAACACGTTATATTCTGTAGCATATATAACAAATAAAAGAAAAGAAAGAAAAAAATAACAAAGAAAAAGCCAGAAGAAATAAATATATAGATATATATTACTGTTAGTGTTGTTAAAGCTCTATGTGTTTAAAAAGAATTATAATATATTAAGTGTTGTTTTATTTTAAAAAAGGGAATTCGACAATTGCACCTTATCATTACGTATTACTATCTTATATACAATTATATGTAATCTCTTCTATGGATATATTTAAAAAAAAAAAAGTATTGAAAAATATATACTCGTACGTCGATGTTACATTATTATGTAATATTTTTTGTTTATATATTTTCCTATAATCTAGGCCACGCGAATGTTATTTATTGAAATGATGAATTTAACTGTTTTACCATATGTTACTGTGTTTTCTAACGTGTTAATATTTAATTGTGTCAATAGGTGGCGTAGGATGATGAAGAGTAGTGATTAAAATGACTCAACTAACCTCAACTAACCTCAATATAATTGAAGCTTAAACAAAAGGTGTCAGTCACATCATATGCAGTTTGAATTTGATGTATAGTTTATTCGTAATGACAAAAATTTAATGCTAATATGAAATGTTACTTCTAGAGCTGAATGAATAAATATTCATAAGACGTATTCAATGGCAGGAAGAAATAATGGAAGAGACAGAAATAGTGGAACACTTTTATGGAGTATATTTATTGTATTGTTTGAATCCAAAGTACAAAGGCAGAATTTATATAGGTTACACCGTAGATCCACAACGTAGAATTAAACAGCACAATGCCGGTAAAAAACACGGCGGTGCATGGAGAACTAGCGAAAGAGGTCCATGGTAAACTACTACTGTTACTATATACGATTAACATCCAAATATCGTAATAAAAGATTAGTACAAGTGTTTCTTTTTGTTTCTTTTTGTTTCTTGCTGTTTCTTTTTGTTTCTTTAGGAGTATGGTGTTAATAGTTCACGGCTTTCTTAACAGTACTTCTGCATTGAGGGTATGTTGTAAACTATCGTACAAAATATTTGAAACAAACAAAAGGCATCCTAGGCATTCTTGCTGTTTATATTTTATTATTTATTGCGTAGTTCGAATGGGCATGGCAGCATCCTCACGAGAGTCGACGTTTAAAACATGTGCCGAAAAAGAAATCAACTGAAAAAACGATCGAATTTTATTTGATGGTTCTCTCGGAAATGCTCAAAGTCGGACCTTGGTATCGTTTACCTTTAACAATTCGTTGGCTGGACGATAACTTTGCACAATTGTATTCCACTTCCTTTTCACCGCCTTTACACATGCCAATATGTTACGGACAAGTTCTACCACGAAAGGTTACTAACAAAAGTCCAATAAAAGAAAATAATCTACTCGTTTGTTCAATTTGTGGATTGATCAGTGAAAAAGACAATTCCATTAGGTGTATAAAACCGGACTGTCGACTGATAGCACATTTAATTTGTTTAGCTAAGCGTTTTTCTACAGACGATCATATTTTACCGATCGAGGGTACATGTCCTACCTGTAATACTAACGTTCTTTGGGGTGACTTGATAAAAAAGATGATCGGTTGTTATCAAGATATACAAAGTAATGTAAACGAAGACGATTGTGTGCTCGTAATTAGTAGCGACGAAGATTAATCATGAACAATATGCAAATATATTTGTTGTGCTAGATAAACTATAAATTCTACTATACATACTACTTTAACATGTAATTAGCGCACGCGCGTATCGCGTACCGCGTACCGCGTACCGTTATTACTTTTGTCATACGTGATCAAATAATGCTGCACATATCAATCGTGCTGTCCATAATTGTTAACTAACATTTAGGTCACAGCAGTCATTTTCATTTGCCGTCGTCAAGTCGATATTAATTACAAAATACATACATACATACATACATTCATACATACATACATATAAAGAAATAAATAAATAAATTAATAATGAAATATTTGAAAGAACAAAACATTCCTTGCTTAAAATGCAGATCATTGAAGTTTTCATTAGAATAGATCAGGGATCAGATCGTCGTCAGCATAGTCGGCATAATCTTCTGCGCCAGGAGGTACGAAGATTCCTCCAAGAACACCAGAAATATTTTCACCTAATCCCATCGATGTAGCCACACCAAAAACTAGTCTCATCACTAGCAATCTTATAAAATTCACCGGATTAGTCTCCTTACTTTGCAACGACAATTGCTTCGTCGTTTTCTTAGATCGACATTCGACCTGTATGATCTATAAATAATCATTGAAAAAAGTCAGTGGCTTTACACAATATGAAATCTTTCTTAACGTTGTTGAATAAAATACAATCGAACAATCGATGAACAATGAAATCATCAATATGCGCAATGACATCGTAAAATGATCATTTAAAAATGAATAGAAATTGTACTTACGCTCAAAGATATGAATATTAAAGCAAATAACGTCGTTGTCACTTTCATCTTTTAGATCTTTTCTTGACACAAGAAGCACGTGAAGCAACAGAAGAAGTAATCGATCGATTTTCACAAATAGGCGCACTTAAAATAACTTATTATCAAACCAAAATATATAGAAAAAGTAATTGTAATATTGTTGGTAAAATGTAGACGGAAAGGCGTGACGAAGCGAGGCGAGGCGAGGCGAGGCGAGGCTTGGCGGTAAATTGTAAAATTAGACAAGCGCTCGTGAAGGGACAGAAGAGAAATAAGCATTAGCTTCGTGATCGCAGAAGCAAAGTTCTTCTTCTACGATAACGGTAAACGACGAAAAAAGGCATCCAGGCCATCTCCTGTTCGAGTATGATATGCGCGTAAGGTTGGGGCGCCAGTAACGAGCTGCTAGCAGAAGATACGAACGATAACCAAACGCAATCAAGAAATATTCTTTCTTAACCGTTTTTACAAGAAGAAATATACGCACATTATTATTGTACATGATTTGAATTTGATTTGAAAGAAGATTGATCGATAAGTTATTCTCATCATCAGTCGTAAATAGTAAATCTTATTTTGATATTTTAATTAAGTCGGTATAGCATAGTGTAGTCCCGGTTACCTAGAAAATTGTAGTAGGACCAAGGTAGAAAACTATAAACTACAACTACAACTAAAATAATCGTTCGTGAATGAATAAACGATGAGAGTCGGTCAATTGAATGATAATTAAACGACGCAAGTGTTGAACGATGACGATGACGATGACGATGACGATGAGACTAAGCAGCCGGTCCAAGAAAGGGATATACAATGACAACAATGACGCACTTCGTTAAAGCCATCGAAGGACGTACGTTCCCTTTGGATTAACCGGTCGATTAGTCGATTCGAGCGAAAGGAACAAACCCTGCTGCTGCTGCTGCTGCTGCTGCCCCTTCTTATTAGGTTCGTAATGAAAGGCAGGATGCGACTGGGACCGGACGTGACAGTCTTAGAATACGAAAACAGTTCCAGAAACGAAGGAAACCAACTAGCCGTTCGACGATGATGACTCTACGACACTCGTTATTGTCAAGATCTTTTTGTTTAAGGAAATATTACAATAAGAAGTATTATTAATTTCACACACATCTGAGAAAATGCATCTCTGGGGTATATTGATCCGATATCATTCCACATCAAATGCCATTCTACGGTGCGGAATTTTCGCCTGACTGATCTCCTCGTGACTTCTCTAAATGGTTTCTTCAAGCATGAGAGATCTAGCATTTCTTTGATAAAAAGAAATAAATACAATGTTGAACATTTAATTGAAAATGACCGATAGAAGAAAGAAGAAGTAGAAGAAGAATTGTTGTTTTTAACGAAATATAAATACTAATGAAAAGTGACATGTAACTTTGTATGAGAGCTTTGACACCCTATGTGTAGGCCTATGTGTAGGCCTATGTGTAGGCCTATGTGTAGGCCTATGTGTAGGCGCAGTTGCAGTAAGTTAGATAATGTCCTCCTGTCAGGGTCTATGAACTCCGCAAGCGCATTTGCTTCCTATTGCAGTAATGTGCGCGGTACCATGTTTCAAATATTGCAATAATACAATACTTATTGATCACGATAATTTTAATTCAATAATTGAATATTTTTGAAATTGTTCATATTACTTTTCGACTATTACTTTATAATAATACTAATACTTTCCTAACAATGAATAATAGTAGTTTGAATGTATTGTAAAATGAATCAATATTGGCGGTAGCTAGGAAGACACGCGTTTCTATCTGTTCTTCAGAGCATATTCCTCTTTCTCGGCACTATTTTTCGAGAGGGGGAGGAGAGACGAAAAGAGGGAGAGAAAGGACTCTTGGCGATCGTCTCACCGGCAGTGCGTGGTACACCCTCATTGATGACACTCTATTCGCCGGCGCATGCTCGAACTTTATTTCGAACTTTCCTTCAAACTTCTTCGTTGAAGATACAAATGTTCACATGCTTTTCGGCTTAATTTCAATCATCAAATGGATAGAAAAGATGAAAGAATAATCGTGATTATGCAATCCGTTAAAATCCTTTGTTCGGAATTTCGAGATCACCTCCTAATCGAAATGTGAATTTTTGTAAGAATTTGGTGACCGTGCGAGACAAATTGGTGTATGAGATAATAAAGAGAGAAAGAAGAAATAATAGAAAAAAAAAAAAGAAAATAATTATATAATATCGAAGAAAATATATATTTGAAATTAGTTGAAAAAGTTGGCAAAGATGAAAGTCAACGATGGAAAAAGAATGAACGCAGAAACGGTCAAAGTTGGTTGTTTTCAGATGCTTCTTGTATTAATTTTTTGCATAAACTACATCATCGTATCAATGAATCATACCTTACCGGCTTTTCATAATTACACACCGAAATTTTATTGTCAGGTAATCTCATCACGAGTGCAGCTTGTTCAAGCTTGTTCAGTCCTAGGCTTACATTAGTTTCAATGAAAAAAGGAATTTAGAAAAATGTCGTCATTATATTCCAGCCAAAGAATACAACGAGCATAACGTATGGTTGTCCAATTGAAAATAATTCGACAATTGAATCTAACTGGAGCTCCTCCTGTTCCGGCGGCGACTATCGATTCGCGATCGAGCCCGGTGAGAACAGCGTTGTCACCGAATGGATCTTGATATGCGACAGAAAATATTTGACCTATCTAGCGTCAGCAATCTATTATTTTGGTGCTTTGATCGGTGCTTGGGTTGCTGGAATTCTGGCTGATCGGATTGGAAGATTACCAGTTCAAGCAATTTGTCTATACACGCAAGGCACTATGGCTGTTGCGCTTTACGTCGTGCAGGTAAAATCGACTAACGATATTATTAATGCTATTATTATTGCTATTATTAATGCTATAATCATTAATCGACGAACATTAATTATAGAATTATCCTACATTTTTGGCACTTCGTGGTCTCCAAGGTATTTTCGTGCAAGGCCTACAAAACTCAACGTACATCTTATCCCTGGAATTGTTCCCCAGTAAATTGCGAACTCTCGTTGCTCTGATCATGCAAATCGCTTGGGCTATCGGCTTGATACTCCTAGCGATATTAAGTTACGCTATACCAGATTGGAGAATTCTGCAGCTGGCTGTTTCCGTACCCACAGCGATAACAGTTTTATATATCTGGTACATGGTTTACAATGATTATGAAAATAGTCGGAGACAGTTGACAGTTGAACTTGTTTGAAATGACATTTTTATCCTACAGGATAATACCCGAATCCCCACGATGGCTGTTGGCTAAAAATAAATTAACGGAAGCCGATATGGCGTTGGAAAGAATCGCAAAATATAACGGCGGGTGTTGCATGAGAATACACAGAGAGAATGTTATTAAGTCTGAGCCTGTTGTAATTAAAGAAAATCCGATACCAGTGAAGCCAGAAAGGAGGAAATCACGCGTTTCGAGTGTCGACTTGAAGAAATCTAAAACTCTCGAAACCAAATTGCTGACTACACCAGATTCGAATCAGCAGACAGAGGAGGAGCAATGTATGAGGATTGTAAAATATTTCTTCTTAACAAAATCCATCCATCATTTGGATATTATTGAATAGAAATTGTTGTTTGTTTAGCGAGAAATTCGAGAAATTCGAGAAATTGGAGAAATTCGAGAAATTCCATCGACCAAACATCATCGAAAAAACGACTGTCATCGATGGACGTCGAATTACGAAGAGAAAAGGACGTAGAAAGTGAAATAAAAAATCCACCATCGTGTTCGAGCAATAATCGAAAATCTAAAAGAAGTTGTCAGTCCATTTATGATGAAAATACATCCCCGAGGATTGAGGAAGAAATAATCGTCGTGCTTAGAAATCCAAGAAAGCTCGAAGAAGCAAATGATAATGAAATCAAAATAGACGACAATGTCGACGAAAAATTAGCAAAAGTAAAAAACAAAAGCTTACAGAAGCTATTTAAACGACCATTAACAAGAAAGTATAGTCTTGCGATGATTTTTCAGTGGTAATCATTTGAAAATATATAATTATTCACTTAGCTGCTGAATGTACTCTTGTGAAATTAATTCTTAATTAATTAGTTTTCATTATTTACATTACAATAGCCTTCCTAGTTGTGCTTAATACTCTTAGCTCTTAGCTACTCTTGGATCGTTTATTTTTGTTTTATTTTTCAAGGTTTTCATCTTCTATGGCGTGTTATCTTTTAGCATCGCTTCTGCCAACTTTTAACGTAAACAGACACGTAACATTTGCATTAGGAGGAGCTTTAGAAATTGCTGCTTATACCTTTATATATTTTGTATTGTCAAGATATGGAAGACGAATACCATTAAGCATATGTCAATTTACAAATGGCACGATATTCATTATCTTATCTATTTTAATGATTCTAATAGATTCATCATCTTTAGGCTGGAAAGGTGATTAACTCTTCAAACAAAATTCCATTGCTTTTATTTGATTGATTTATTATTTTAAAATGAATTGTTATTGATAATATTGTTTTTATTTATTGTTTAAATAGATCTCACGAAGACTATAATATTGTTATTTGGTAAAGTAACCGTAATAAGCACTATTGCTGTAATATATCTCTACACTGCTGAACTATTTCCAACTGTCGTAAGAGGAACTTGTTTAGGTTTATGTACAGTTTTTGCTGAGATTGGTTTTTTAAGTATACCTCATGTGTTATCATCGGTAACGTGATTAACAATATCATTTGTCAATTATTCAAATACTATTATTTTCTTCTTATTCTTTCTTGTTTTCTTTTTTAGGGAGAATATGTGCCAATTAGTATGCCATTAGCGATCCTTGCTATTCTATGTTTTATTTCGGGTATATTAGCAATCCTTTTGCCAGAAACATTGAATACAATTCTACCCGATACGATAGAAGATATTGAAGAGATGTTCGTTAAAAAAAGAAATGATCAAATAAACGATGAGGAAATAGTTAAGGAAGATGAAAATATTACAAAAGACGATCTTAAGGAGAGAGAAATACTAAGAGAGAAACTTTTTTCGGAGGATTGGGTGGATGCTGGAAACGGTATATTAGTTAATTTTTCGGAAAACAAAAATGCCGACTAATCGTCCGCGATTGCGATTGCGATTGCAAATTTTCTTTAGTGAAAATGTCTTTTTTATTTGTTTTCAATTTGAATACAGGTTCACAAGCATTCTGATGTAAATGTGTATAATGCGCTTACCACTATAGATAAATTGTAAGTTTTATTTATCAGGGACTTATGTATTTATTATTTTACATTTGTAAGAATAATTTAGAAACTTAATCAATTATTGTATATACTTATTTTTTACTTGAATTCATATCAATTTATTATTGGAATGAAAAGCGTTTAACAATAAAAATCTTACAAATCTTTTAACGAGACTGAGAAGAAAGAACAAAACTGTTTGGCCATGTAAAATATGGTATTTCTATGTCAAAATATATCACAGTTTAACAATATGATTAATAAACAACTCATCCATAAAAGAAATGACAATATAAGGAGGATATATTTGTAAGTAATATCTCCTATAGTTTATATATATATATATATATATCAAATGTTCCAATTTTCTAACTTTACCAGACGTACCAGACGTACCAGACGTACCACTCTCTCTCTCTCTCTCTTTCTCTCATTTAAGGAACTTTAGATTGTACAATACCATTATTTTGTGGATTTACATGTGGAGTCTGCTCCGCTGCTGTTTGTAAAAGTCTTATCCTACGTCTAGTGTAATGCTGCCAAAGCAAAATCTGCTGATCGTCTATAAATTTGGTGCATTGCGAGCTGACAGCTTCTCTTCTAAAGTGTTCGTATTGTAATAAGTCTAAGAAGTACAAACACATGGGATATCTCAAATATTTAACATATTCCGGTTCTTTCCAGTAGAGAAGATATTTAAGGTAGTTTATAAATGTGGCATCCTTGAAGTAACCTCGTTGTGCTAAAACTACAAAAGTTAAATAATAAAAATGAGAAAAGTAAATGTGAGCAAATTGTGATAGCAAAATTGTACCTACAGTTAAGGTAATTTGGATTTGCAAGACATTGAACAAACTCTAGTTCAACTTGGAACCTTAGACGCTGTTGGTCGTCTGTTTCCGTACCTCCTATAACCGAATATAACAGCAAAATGGAATAATCAATAGAAATAAATAAATCAAAACAAAACAAAACAAAAAAACCAGAACAACTTTGTTATTGAATCGTTAAACATACATACCATTCATTCCGATAAAAGATGGTTTTCTGCCTTTCATGAGACCTGGAGGATCATCCAGACGGTTCATAATACGCTAACCTATCACTTTTAGATAATTTTTGAGCGTAATATGAAAATACTAACCATCAAAGAAAGTAGAAAGAAATTGAAAGAAAATTGTTAGAAGGAAACGTGTAATGATCTTCATACATCCAGTTAAGGTGCAGCAGCAGCAACAAACACAGCCCCTTAACCGGGGTTAAGAGGCATATACTCTGATATACGAGACGTCGATGTGTGTCGCGGTAGTCGACACGTTAATGGTCGATAAAATGAAAAACTGAGTAGACCACAAGTGTACAAGGAAAATAGTACTACACTCCGTTGGTAAAGTCGTCACTGCACACTGCTCTTTCTACGGCCGACGAGAGATAGCGCCAACATTTCGTACACGAGGCGCGACATTTTCAAATATTTCAATCACACATTTGTAATATTTTATTTTATGAAATACATTTGCATAACTAGTATATCTTTGGATGTTAATAAATGTTATACGTAGATTGGAACTTAAATAGTTCCAATCTATGTGTGTTTAATAATAAGAAAAATTGTAGAACTTCAATAATAACATCTCATTATAAAGAAATATAAATTTACTCTTTGACATATAATTTTAGCATCAAATATGGAAATTATACTCTCCATCTCTGTATCGTAATTTTGATAATTACATTATATATAATTACAGTTTTCATATCGATTAATTTATGTTTTTATTCATCAGTTATAAATAAAGCTGTTCGTCTCCTAGTTAGCAGTCTCATTCTTGTTATAACATTGAAAGATTGAACTTATCTTTGAAAAGTTTTGCAGCTTTTTATTACAGCAGTCAAGAAAATGAGTTTAACACCAAGAATTAGTTATGAAGAAGAATTAAAGAAAAATGTTGATTTAAAGGACTCTGATATACAAATATTAAGAGAATGGTGCAATAAGCAGCCTCATTTACCAAAAATTACGGACAGTGAATTGGCATTATTTTTACACAGCAATTATTATCGATTGGAGCCAACAAAAAATACGATAGATGCTTACTATACTGTACGAACTCACGTTCCAGAGTTTTTTTCTAATAGAGATCCGCTTGGATCAAAGTCGCTTCGAGAAATAATGAAAGTTGTGTAAGTAAAGTTGAAGTTGCATTTAATAATAATAATAATAATAATAATAATAATAATAATATTTGATGTAAATGTTGTCTACAGTGCAGAAATACCATTGAAGACAACAACGAAAGATGGTTATAAAATACTTTTCTGCAAACTACTTGACATCGATCCTTCGCATTATGTTTATAACGACGGTATGAAATATTTTAGCATGGTTTTGGATTATTGGCTTTATACCGAAGGTACAGGAATTGGTCATTTGATTCTGATTGATATGGAAAATGTAAGTTTCGGTCACGCAGGCCGATTAAGTCCTATGGGACTGAAGAAGTTTCTTTACTATTTGCAAGAAGCTTTACCTGTTCGTCTGAAAGGTTTACATTTCATGAACACATCGGCTGTGATGGATATCATTCTAAATATGATGAAACCTTTCATGAAAAAAGAATTGATGGATGTGGTATGATTATTATTATTATTGATTATCTACTAAATTATATATGCTATGTAATACAGTATGCCATAATTACAATAATTTTGATCATCGTTCTATTAGTTGCACGTGCATTCCACATTGGAAAGTGTCGCAAAGTTTATTCCATTAGAAGTATTACCAACCGATGTAGCTGGTAAAGCAGGATTTACCAAAGATTTACACGAAGAATATATAAAAAAGATCGAAGATCATCGAGCTTGGTTCCTACAGGATGAGATAAATGGTCGAGTAAATGAGGCTCTGAGATCTGGTCAAAGTAAAAATGTAACGGATCTTTTTGGAGTCGAGGGGAGTTTCAAGAAGCTTGAAATAGATTAACGCACAAAATCAAATAAATGATGCTATTCTAATCAAATACATATACCATACATTAGATCAAATGAAACATTATTAAACGAGTTTCAAGTTTCAAGTTTCAAGTTTCAAGTTATACGTACATATTATAGCAACTACTTTTATTCTGTACTTTGATCTTTTATAATGGCCAACAATTAACCCCATCACATTCCCCTTAAGCGTATATTACATTATTATGGAATGAGGTTGACATACATTTCATAATTAATAATATATTTATAAAATTCTGTTAATGATGATACTATCTAATTATCTCAATATCCTTGTAAAATAGCTACTTACAATAGAAACAAATTTCCAATTCCATTGTATTACACACTCGTAATGAGTGTATGTGTATTTTGATCTCCTGCAAAAAAAAAACGTTTATCTCGATAAACTTGATAAAAAAACAAATGACAAGTTTAGTACTGTAATAAACAAGTTTATCTACAGGATGTTCTAAAAATTGCTTTATCAAATATCTTTTACCAAATGCTCCGATTTGTAGTAGATTTGGAAGATGTCTTTTTTAATTGAAATGAAGAAATTTGTCCTAAATTTTGTCCTAAATTCGTGTCGGATTAGTGTCAAGGTTGCGTCAGGGTTTCTATCAGAGTTTTACGTCAAGCTTTCTCTTTCCTCGGTACAACAAGTTTCGGAACAACCTATATATGCATATGTATATAAGTAGAACTCATTATTAGATCGGTTGCTATCAAGTAAGAAACATATTCTTCTTCCACGTTCCGTGCAACATTAACGTAAAACATTAAAAAAAAAAAAAAAAAAAAAAAAGAAAACCAACGTTATTTAGATTATAAAATGAATAAGTAATACGAACTAAAATTATCATTTGATACACGTGAAAGTCAGTTATCGTAGTTTTAATAAGTTTTTCAGTTTACAATGGCTATAGTACCTACAGTATCATATTCGTTAGAAGAATTTTGGAAAAGTAATCCTGATATTAAGAAATCGGATCTACAAATCATTCGCGATTGGCTCGATAAGGAATCTCATTTGCCAAAGATAAACGACGAGTCATTACTTTTATTTTTTCACAGTAATTATTATCGACTAGAACCAACTAAGACCACGATAGAAAACTATTTTACTTTCAAAACTCATGTGCCCGAATTTTTCGCCAATAGAGACCCATTCTTAAAAGAAATTCGTACACAATCCAGTATCATGTAAGTTTCATTTTAATAGTATGTAATGTCATGTAATTTTAATAGTATAATGTGTTAAATGTGAATGTGTAAGAAAGAGGAAAGAAGAAAGGGTGAACGAATTTAACGGAATATTATTTTCCTTGAAAACAGACGTGTTTTTCCAGTGAAGGAATTAACCAAGGAAGGATATCAAATGATATATGCAGATTTGGCGCATTCTGATCCATCTTCTTATGTCTTTTATGATGCCACTAAATATTTTTTAATGGCAGTAGAGTTGGGCACTTATAAAGTAGGACCAGTTAACGGATTGGTGTTTATTACTGATGTACAGAACATAACGTTGGGTCATGTAGGTCGTATAAATATTATGGGACTTAAGAAATTTATATATTTTGTACAAGAGGCGGCACCTATTCGTTTGAAACAAATATATGTATTGAATTGGAATTCGGCGGTTGAAACTCTACTAAATATAGCAAAGCCCTTCATGAAGAAGGAACTATATGAATTGGTGAGTTCACTTTAATCTTGAATTTGATTTTATTATAGGATAAAGGATTAATGATGAAATTTATTGTTAGATAAACTTGACAACTGTAGAAAAATTGAAAAAATTCATACCCTTTGATGCACTTCCAAATGAGATAGGTGGCAAAAGCGGTAATATCAAAGATCTCGCTAACAAGCAAAACCAATTGATCGATGACAATCGCGAATACTTTTTAATGGATGAGGCAAAGAATAAGACTAACGAATCGTTAAGAATTGGGAAGCCTACATTTGCAAATGACCTTTTTGGTGTCGACGGGAGCTTCAAAAAACTCGAGATCGATTGAGCGGATATCTTTATACCTTTATACCTTTATACCTATCTTTATATCTTTGTATCTTTATTTGCTTTTATTAGCTGCGTTTTATGCGTTGTTTTATGCGTATATATTTATATAGGGAAGGTCTATATTTTCATATTTTTTAATATATTCACATGGTAATTCTATTTTATCCTTGCATTATTCAATCAAATTAATACGATCTTATGAAATAAAATCTTGTACGAGTCACTTTTTGCTTATTAATCGACTGTTACATCATAATACTTCGATGATATAACTCTTTTAAGACTCTTCTCTAACACGCAATAACATAATTACAGAATAGAAGGAGATTCCAAACTACAATTGTATTTAACTCCTTTACAAATTTTATCAACAGAATCAAGAACTGATGTGTTTCGCACACATTCCAAAATCTTTATATTAAATCATATATATATGACATATGTGAATTTACATTTTTATATCATCCTAATGAAATATGCTATCTATGCTAAGATTGCATTCGTAATTTTGAAGTCAATGGTACCAAATCTTTTCTAAAGGAGCAAAATAAGAAATAAAAGGAGAACAATGCATTTATAATTATGTGTAATTACGCATGTGTATTCTCATCTGACCCACATGACGAAAAATATCCTTAAATGACTTCGTGTGATTTGTCCGATTATGAAATTATATATACAGGGTAACATCAACATGTCACGCAGTTGTCAATCGTATGTTACTCCGCTTAAATCCTTTAGTCTAATTCGTTTTTCTTAAGAGGCCAGTAATCCAAGATAGACAAATCTTGAAAAAAAATATTTTTGTGCGCAAAGAAAAGAAAAAGCAATAAAATATAGGATGACACTAAAAGCTGGAATTTCGTTCGAAGAGGAATTAAAGAAAAATCCAGAATTGAAGGAAGACGATATACGAACGTTGAGAGAGTGGTGTCAAAAGCAACCTCATTTGCCGAAAATCTCCGACAGCGAGTTGGCTCTCTTTTTACACAGTAATTACTATCGTATAGAGCCAACGAAAAATACCATCGATACTTATTACACCGTACGAACTCACGTACCAGAGTTTTTTTCTAACAGAGATCCTATTGGCTCGAAGGACCTTCGAAAAGCATTTCAAACAGTGTAAGTGTAAATAAATATTTTACATTTACTAATAAGTTAATCATTGCTATTTCATTAGATTAACAGATTAGAGATTTATTTTCACAGATCCAATTTGGTTTTGAATAAAACCACCAATGATGGTTACAAAATCATTTATGGTAGACTGATAGATACCGAACCGTCGCATTACGTTTATAACGATGGTATGAAATTCCTTAACATGGTAATTGATCTCTGGCTTCACGAAGAAGGTACTTCCAAAGGTCACATTATCCTCTTTGATACAAAGAACGTTGCACTTGGACACGTGGGTCGACTAAATCCTATGGGATTGAAAAAATTTCTTTACTACTTGCAAGAAGCTTTACCTGTACGTCTTAAGGGTTTCCATTTTATGAACACCTCGCCGGTTATGGACATTATTCTTAATATGATGAAGCCTTTTATGAAAAAGGAATTGATGGACATGGTAAGAAAAATTCGTCAAAGAAAATTCGCTTAATAAAAGTTCGCAATAATAATAAGACATTTTATTTTCTCTCGCAGTTTCACATGCACTCGACTATGGAAACTTTGGCTAAGTTTATACCCTTGGAAATACTTCCAAACGAATCGGGTGGGCAAGCAGGTCCTTTGAAGGACTTGAACGATGCTCAAATTAAAAAATTAGATGACAATCGTGCTTGGTTTCAACAAGAGGAAACCTTATGTCGCGTTAATGAATCTCTGCGTCCCGGTAAAGGAAAAACAGCAACGGATCTGTTTGGTGTTGAAGGAAGCTTCAAAAAGCTCGAAATTGATTGAACAATCTATCCGACTTTTTCCGATCTTTTTATCCGATTACTTACTAAAATTACATCCAAATCACATCAAAATCTTGTGATTTCTTTCTTATATAAATAAATGCATACGTAATTATGATGTAACGCGTTATCGCTGTAATTGTAATAGTAGATGACTAAAAGATGACTGTTATGTATTTTGTTCTTTTTATTACTACGAACAATTAGAAACTCTTAATATATAGCAAGGATTTAACAGAAAAAAAGTGCTTGTAAAAAAATCGATAAACCTTGTCTCTTCTTAGAATACAAATGGACTTTGATAGAAATTAAAATTCACAATCATACAATAAGTTCAGACTTGTATAACGTCAGATCAATAACAAAGTATTACATAACACGGTTGCATTGCAAAATCAAAAGAAAAAAAAGAAAAAAAAGAAAAAAAATAATATTCTTTAACAAGAAATTCCATCATCGTCAATATATTTAATCATGATGGAATCAAATAAACGAGTTGATGGTGTGAAGGTACCCTTAAACATATTACCTTCACTATCTCTTTCTTTAGTTTCTTATGTTACTTTCACTGGAAGACAATCCTCTCACAGCAGTCGGTTAAGGCGTCGGTGGTTATTTATATAATAATAAGTTTTGTCAAATCATTGATTTAAGAAAAATGAAAAGTTTAATCGTAAGTGTAACTATTATAGGATTGATTATATTGTACTAGGATTTATTTCATATTTCTACTAGTTTAAGGAAATACGAAAATATTCCAGTGCGAATGTATCAACAGAAGTAAATGTTTTTTCTTTCCAATTAGATCGTCCTCGTTTTATCGAGTTCCTGTCTCGGAGACGTCTCACATATTTTATCAGAATATTCTTCGACGACAATTACCAGTACGTTACCACCATCCACCACGTTATCTCCAAAACCCTATAGTTTTCAATACAAAGCGGGACGATATCCAGGACACGTTGATCGAACTCATGAAGAATCCGGAGATGGTTCTGGAACCATTTATGGTAAATCTTCTTATAACTTTATATCTTCTATATTATCATACTTGGACACCTTTATACGTGGACTTATTTGCTTATTAGGATCTTATTCGTTCGTTGATCCTAAGAACACAGTTCGAAGAATAGAATATGTAGCTGACCAAAATGGATTTCATCCGTCGTTGATAAATTACGAAGATACGCTTAGACAACCCGTTGATTCCGAAGCTGTAAAACTCGCTAAGGAAAGGCATTTTCAACTTTACGAAAAATTGGCTGAAGCCAATGCGCACGATGTTCCAATCAATATTCCAAGGGTAAGGAAAATTGATTCCCACATAACACGAAAGGTTTTGAAATCTTTCAGAAACGCATCAGAGGCATCAAAAGGCATCATTCTAGAATATTTTGAAAAAGATTCGTAAAAGATTTTACTTCAATATTTTACTGATGGAGTATATAGAGATAAAGGTTTTTAAATGTTTCTAGTGTTTTAGAAAGTTTTTAGAAAGTTTTTATGTTATGTGGGTTATTATTCTCTCTCTCTATCTATTTCATATTATTGAAGATTTAACTAAATTAAACTCACATCGTTTTTCTAGGACACTGCTAGTGTGTTAAAAGCAAAGGACAAACATTTTCAGCTTTATCAAAAGATAGCTGAAGAACACGCGGCTATTGCATCTCAAAGAAAAGCGGAGCGCGCAGCGTACGAGGCAACATCGGTTATTAACGATGTTAATGAATATCAAACGTATTAAAAATGCTTATTAAAAAAATAGCATTTTTCAAATAGTATTTCTACTTTAAATCTTGTCAAATATCTAAGTAAGAACGAATGTGCGCGATGCGAATTTGATAAGAATAAATAACATAGGTGTATTATTAATAATTAACAACACGTGAATCATGCACACATGAAATGTCCATTAGTGATTACCGGAAGTTTCGCTATATGTATTAAAAAAAAGAAAATAAATACTATAATTACAGTATGTGTTGGTATAAAAGTCTAAGCGTGACAAAAAGTACAATTGTTATTTTTCATATGTCCGCAAGGATGAAGTTCCTTCAAGGTTTTTGGTTATTGCTTTTTGCCATATTCTGTATCACGGTATGATTTGTTATTATTTCAAAAAACGTTCATAAAATACTGTCACTACTTATTATATGTAGAAGTTGTGTATTAATATTATCTATGTGTAATCGTGTAATAAACGGGGCGTTTCCTTATCATGGAATATTCAGATTTACCAATACTCGTTTAAGTATCATAAATAATGATTATCAATAAAGATACGATGTAAATTTATTCAGATCGTAATGGGTAGGAGCATCGATGGTACCGAACATGCTTTTCTCAAATCTAAAAGTATTGCTTGTTACGGTCGTGGTCGTGGAACGGGGAATACCGGGGGCAATACCGGGGGCAATACCGGGGGCAATACCGGAGGTAATACAGGGGGAAGCGACGGAGGAACAGGAACTGATGGGAACGGAGCTAATGGTGCACCAGGAGCTATGAATCCTATGGCTATGGCACAACGAGCAATGGGTGAAACTTTCATTTCACTTTTTTATACATTTCTATTTGAGTTTATATAGATAGTTTTCTGTTTCAAACGTAAATATATTACAGGTACGATGATGAACATGATGTCAAATATGAATCCAATGGGCTAAATGGCATATTCGTTTGAAATTATTGTATTCTCTATCGAATCAACTAACAAATGTGACATTATTAGTACTTTGTAATAATAGATCTTTTTGTTCTTCCAAATATTACTATTAAATAATAATCAATGGAAACACACGATTATCCTAATTAGTATTGAAATAAATCCAAATATGGTTAATATTCACGTCAACGAATAAAGAATTTATTTAACAATAATATTGTGTGGCAGTAATATTAAAAACTATATAGTATATAAAGTATTACGATTATAAGTATTTAATATAAATGTAGAATATATATATGTATATATATAATTATACACATTAAACATGAAAAATTGTTTAATATATTCTTTTATACTTATTTACATTAATAATATCTTTGTTCTCTATACGCGCGCATGAAATAAGGTGATTTAGAAAATTAAACGTACCTTATATAATTTCAAGATAACTATTTCTATACTGTATTACAATCAATATATAAATGATATTATTTTATTTTATTTTACCTTCGTTTACTTTACTTTACTTTACTTTAATCATTTATTTTAATATTTCATAGATCGATCTCTTAAAATACACTTGAACAAAACTAAAACAATGCTTGATTGATAAAACTCTATTTTGTAATTTACTTTTATTATTAGGATTATTATTAAAAGATCATTGGACGATTCTCTTGCATGCCATTTTTACACATAATTTCATTATCTTATAAACTTTATGTGTTAAGAGCTTATATAAGTTTATATTATAAACATTTAATCTACTATATATGAACACAGCAAGGACAGCTATATTGAATCATGTTCCATATACTCCAAAAGAAGTAAGGAAATATTCTTCCTTTAGATATCCTCCTCGTAGCTCTTTACTTTCTAAGTAAATGTGTAAGATCTTTATTCTGTTTTTGTAATGTAATATCTGTTCTTTCCGCTTTATCCGTTATATTGTCAATTAAATCATTTTGTGAATCAATCTCTTCTGAAAGTCCTATTGCTAAACCTTTCAATCGTGCCAAAGACCCACTCATTTCATCTAAATTTTGTTCTAAAACTTTTGTTATATTATTTTTCGAGGAACTTATTCTTTGATCTTCATCATCATCTACAAGACCTTGAAGTTTAAGCGATGGGTGATTATTAGCCATATTAGTTTGAACTTGATCTAAGGAATTAGATAAAGTTGGCGATGATGTAGATCCAAAACTTGTAGATTCTGGTAGTTTGGTAGATGGTACAGGAGTGTCCAAGGATTTTCCACTGAGATAATTTTTTAAACTTCCAAAAACACTCTTTATACCTTGAATGTGTTTTTGGCTAAATCTTAATGCGCTGTTAATATCATCCAACCTCTTTTCTGTCCTCTCTAATTGTTCTCTTTGCCTAATTAATTCCTGAAATTGCATTTATCCTTTAATAAAAGTTATTTATATGGTAGTGTATATATATATATGTATTAACCTCTGCTGTAGCTGCACCAATCTGTTCAGAGTCTCTCAAAAGAGAAATAGATCGCTCCGACGAATGAATAGTACGCTCTTCTATTTCTTTTCTACGTTGCATTAACTGCTGACGTTTAGATTCAAGTTCATTGTCAAAATTATTAATATAATTATGCGATGAGCTAGGTGCCCTTGTTGGTGCACTTTTTAAAAATGTTTCATCATCTACGTCATCTTCTAACTCAAAAAATGGATTCTTTGTATCACTCAAATAATGTTTCCCTGCCATTTTGCACAATAACCTAAAGTAACTATATATAAATAATCTTGGAATTCGTTTCCCTCAAAACTTTAGTTGAATCACTTATTATACACACCACCACACTGTGATATACACACGAACTTGTGAAATTTGCTCTTCTATCCTATTGTCACTAAACTAACCTATATAAGGTAAAAATCCATTTGACCAACAATATGCTCTCAATTCAATAGTTATTCATAAATATATATATATATACAAACTATATACAAACACTATATACAAACTCTGATACAATGAAATATTTAGAAAAATTGTTAAATCAATATTTGATTAAGAAAACAATTGAAAAATATGAAAGTAATGTTTTGATACTATGGGGGAGGATTCATTGGAAAATGTTAATTCAGTAAAACTCTACAAGATGGTGCGAATCCATACCGTGTGATACCAACACATAGCAAATAATTTCCATTAGAACTGTCACCAGTCACAGTGTAATACAAAGAAAGTCATTTGAAATATTCTAGGTTAAATCTACTTTATAGTAGATTTATATAATTAACTTGTTTTTATTCAAGCAATATGGATTTATCAAAGCTTTCAAATGAAAGGAAATTATATCTTTGTCGATGGTATTTTCGTGGTAGGTATTAACGATCGATAACGAAATAAAAAAAACAAAAAAGGCACAAAATCAACAAATTGATGACAAGTCATATTTGATTATAAAGTGTATCGTTTTAACTTTGTTTAACTTTGTTTAATTTTAACTTTCACACAATAGCAGGATTTGCCCTACTTCCATTTCTTTGGGCTGTTAATGCAATTTGGTTTATACGAGAGGCGTTCATTGTACCAGCTTATGAGGAACAAAAGTACATTAAAAGATGTATGTATTCAATGATTTAGATCTAAAACGAATTTAGTGAATAGACATAAATATAATATTTTAGATGTCATATTTTCCGGCATTGGAGCAATTTTATGGACGATTGCCCTTGTTGCATGGATCGTAACATTCCAAACACAAAGAGCTGCATGGGGAGAATTTGCAGATCATATTAGTTATATTATTCCTGTTGGTATTCCTTGATTATTTTCATATTTTATTATTATATTTATTTGATACAAAAATTCCTACCTATATGCTAATATATAAAATACACATTTTTACTTTAAAGAGAGGAATTAACTACTTATTCATAAGACACAATTATTGTAAAAATATATCATTTATTTAACGATAATGATCAATTTTTCAATATCTTTCAATATCTTTCAATATCTTTCAATTTCAATGAATATTGAGTCATTTTGTAAGTATATACAAATAAGTATATAATACATGTATAATAATACATCAATTTTCATTTGTAAACAATTTCTTGTATCTTAATCGCAAGATACATTTCATTTATACCATCCTTCGTCTCTGGGCATATAATCGTATATCTTTATAAACTAATCTGGATAAAAACTGAAATAATATTTGTTTAAAATGCAAGTTTATCAATTCTTATATATATATATATATATACATATCTTACTGCATATAATGTAGAAATTAGAAAATTGACTTACAAGTAGAGCTAACATGTTTGCAAACATGAGCATATAAAATACATTATGCCATCCTGCCCATTGTGAAACAAATCCTGTTAATAATGGGCCAACCGCAGCACCGATGCTGCCTGTTCCATCAATAATTGCAGTGACTGTTGCCAAGGCTTTAGAATTATCCCCCAAACTAGGATGAGTTCCTAATTCAGCAGATACTGCAGTTGTTATTAAAGCATATGGTCCATTGACTAACAGTCCTGTTATTAACAATAATAGTATACTGGCACCCAAACTCATACTTTCCAAACAATCATAAATAAATAACTAAAAAACAAAAATTATCAATATAATTAATTATTATATGATTTTATATGAATATTTTGTAAATAAAGTAAAATATTACCGTTGGAATTGCAAGTCCAAGCATTATAGAACATGTTAAAGCACTCATTCCACTGTAGTCTGATAAAACGCCAGCAATTATTGCACCTGCAATACCTCCTACATCAAATAATGCTGATAAATATGCACTTAACGTTGTACTGTATGTACCTACAAAGTATAAATACAAATAATATGATCATTTTGTTATCAATAATGTTATTCATAATTCAACGAACAATACTTATATAATGTTTCATTTATTTCATTTATCTGTATTAATTCACTTACTTGAAACTGCAATATACAGCGGCAACCAGTAAAGCAACGTGTAGCTTACAAGTTTTGCAAAAAATAATGCAAAGGAATATTCGAGTACACCGGGTATTTTGGCAGCTCCAACAAATCCAATAGCATTCTCTCTGGTATGATGGTGGAAACGTCTATTTGTTGATAATATCGGACTTGTTTCTGATCTTAAGTTTGCTGAATCCTTTCAAAATAAAAATCTATATGAGTCTTAACTATCACAAATTTAGTACATTATGGTAAATATTATTATAAAATATATATCATAATTAATATATTTTAACTACAATGTCACTGAAAATATGCATGCACTTACGTTAGTAACGTTTTGTTCACGGTAGACACTGCGAAAGATGACACGCTAGGTAAAGGAAATGGGTACTTTTTAGTGGGCATATTGTGTCAAGTGCATAAATTATATGAATTCAAAACGAATCAACTATATATGAAATTTGTCAGTATTTTTAAACACACCAGAAAATTATTTGTTACTGTGGAATACTACAAAAGAAACATAAGGCACCGAGCTTGATTACATTGGAGAATAACTTTTCAATTGTTAATTAAACAAAACATTATTTCTATTAATTTTACCATTACGTGGTATCAAGAGGAACATAATGTGAAATACACATGACTTCTTTATAAGTTAAAATAGCGCATTTTTTCTTGTTGTGTATAATTTCAAAGTTATTCGAGATAATCAAGTTAGGTATTTTATTTAATCATACTTTATATACAGGATGGTCAAAACAGGATCCAAAGTATAAAGTATATATGAAAAAGAAACAGGAAAAAGAAATAATAGTAGTAAGATTTTTTAACTTAAAGATAATTGGGAGGGTAGTAAAGATAAAGGGTGATATAATTGTCATGCTTATACTTTATGTATCAACGTGCAGTTTACTTAGTAATTAGGTACAAAATAGAGATATTATTATTTACTGACTGTAGCTGTAATTAGAATAGCGATTAGTCTATCATATTATCATTATATACATAAAAACTTACATCTTCTCCAATAGTGCGAGATTCTTCGATATCTCCAATACTATCTTCATCTGAACTGTTAGTTGCATCTAGTTTTCTATATCCAAATGAATTAGGAGGAAAACATCCTACATCAATAGGTGTAGGTGCTAGGAATAAAAAAATAATAAATCCTGCTATTCCCATTATTACTGCTGGTATTATGAAACTTAAACCCCAGTTAGATTCAACAAATTCAGCTGCAAGTAAAGTTCCCAATATATTTCCTAAAGATGTATGAGAATTCCATATTCCAAAAATTAAGCCTCGCTTTCCCCTTCCAAACCAATTTCCTACAACTGTTACTACACCTGGCCAACCAGAAGTTTGAAATACTCCACCCGCAGCCTAAACAAAAAATTCATCTCAATTTTCTTATACGTATATCATTTTTATATATCATTTATATTATATTAATACCAACCTGAATGAAAATAAAATACCAAAAGTTATGTATCTTATACGTTTTAGCAATTCCAAATAAATAACAAGAAATAGCAGACGTTAGCATACCAAGGGCAAGAAAATAACGCAGATTAACACGCTCAGCAATAAAACCACTAAATAAAAAAAAAATAAAAAAAAAACAAACAAAACAAAAATAATCAATTAATATTAATGCAATTTATTGGATGTTACGATGATTAGTAAGCTCACTTTAAATCTATCACCTGAGAAACATAGCAGCTGCGTATGCAAATAGGAATGCTGAATCCAACATACCGAGTAATGCTGGAGCATCTGGTGTATCTATAGAAATACAAATATTCTATTGAAATGTAGTAATATAAGAATAAGTTTTGTGTGTATAAAATATGCACTGTATTAAAACAATATAAAGAAATATTATTTACCAAATGGAGCCCAATCACACCATGTATCTCGATTGGTATCATTAATTATAATATCAGGTGGCGGTAATACGCGACTACAATTAAGACTTAATACATTTTTGACCACAGATATAGGTTTCCTTGTCATATGGTAACAAGTATATGATAAATATGTAAGGGCTAATATGCCTCCTTGATGCCATATAAGTCGATTTATACGACGATGAGAACAACATTTTGACATTACATATTCAATCATTCGTAAGCCCCATGGGGCATCTTTTAAAGATGTCATATTTCATTCACAATGTCTTTCTATATATTCAGATACTATATATTCTGTCTATATTATCTTGTCAATGTTAAAGTAAATAATTTGGGATTAATTATTAACGATGTTTCAACAAATAAAAAGACTTTTCCTTAAAGATATTTCATCTATGCTTCTTCTTCTTCTTCTTCTTCTTCTTCTTTAAAATTCTTATATTGTATTAAAATATATTGTATATTTGTGCTTTTGTACAAATATTGTACAAATAAAAACTATACACTCGTTGTAGAAATACTATATACACACTTTAGAATATAATATAGAAATATTATATTATGTATTGAAAAATTAAAAGAGCAACATTTTAAAACATATGTTATAAGACTCCGCATAATTTGTTATTATGTTTATGAACGAAATAAAATAGGAATTAACATTGATAAAAAGAATGTACGGACCAGAATGTACAGAATGAGTCGTCATAACCTAAAAGAAAATGAACAAAGATTTGTTAATAAATTTTAATTACTTCATTACACTTTGAACAAAGTAAAAATAGTAAAAATAGTAAAAATAGTAATTATATATTAAACTTACCTTAAATGATATGGTAATCTAAATGGAATGTTTATTGTCCTAAGTAACAAAGTGACAGCTGATCAAACATGAAATACAAAAAGAATTGAGACATGACTCATTATCACACATTAAGGAAATAACTTTCAATTCGTTTCAAACCAAAGTTCAAAGAGTATTTGTCAAAACGCGCGAAATTTGAACTAAGAAGAAAGACAAAGTTTGTCATGAAAATGATAAGTGATTAAATGAACCATAACCATAACTCTAACTAGGAAGAAGATTTTAATGAAACAATTTTGGATGTATTTTTTAATGACATAGTTCATAGTATTTGGATATTTTAGTTATTATAGAAATATATATGGCAATATGCTGATTGAAGATTGTGAATCTATTTTCCAATGGCATCCAGAAATGATACTTACTTCTACTTCACCAGTTACATGGCAAGGATTTCTAATGATCACAATACCTTCTAATGCAATAGAAAAACAAAGAGTTAGACTGAAACTAATTTTACCAAATTATCCACTGATACACGATGCAGTGCTTAATTTTGGTAAGAGCTATGCTTTTTTACAAAAACAAACATTTGTTACAAGTGTAAATGATTTAATTCAGAAATCTTCTTCTTCGGTATCATCTTTTTTGAGATTACTACAATCACTTATTGTGAGTTTATGTTTACATTAATATTTTACATTTAATATATATATATATATATATATATATATATATATACAAAATATTGTATGTAATTAATTAAAGTCACATTTTTTTAATGTAGAGTGAAACTATCGAAGAATATAATGTACCAATTGATCAATCACCTACTGCCATACTTCAAGATTTAAAAGATATATTTGAATCTAAATCTGTAAGTTGTAAGAATATAATTCTATATATATTAGATATGTAATTTAATCATTTTATTTGTTCAAGGGCGTTACATTATCATCTAATAGTTCATTAGATACAATCAAATTATCATTGAAAAACATTCATATTGTATTGAAAAGAACTAATGACAATATCAATCCATGGAATGTTATATCTAATGATTTACCGGAGATATCTGCATTCGGATCTTTTCATGAAAAAATATCTTCTTTAACTGTTATAACAAATAAATTTAAACAACAAGTAGAAAGATTTGATGCCTTATGGAAAGTCCTGTCAGAAATTGATAAGTAAATTGCAATATATATATATATATATATATATATAATTAAATAACATTAATGTTTATAGGTACAACATACACACACACATTGCTTTTATAATATATATTTTATTTAATAATATTTTTATTTGCAGAAATTGCTATGTACTAGATCCAATTCCTGCAAGGCCGTGTCACTTATTTAGACGTATTTACTTATCACAATCATTATCTATGTTAATTACAATAGATCCCCTAAATCCTACTTCGCCTCCAAATCTGAAATTTTTAGGCAGTGATGTTGATGTACAAAGACAAAAAGATATTATTTCAAAGAACATGTGTGTAAGTACATGTGTTATGATTAACAATTACCAATTCTATTCGTATAATTTGATTATGTTTATTACTGTTGCAAATTTGCAGGTCTGGAACTCGGAAAAAAATATATTACAGAACTTACTTATTTTGTTAGATATATCTGAATTTCCCTCCCAAAAAAAACAAGACGATAGCGTCGACGATCAAAATTGTATGTTTACGAATGAAGAATGTTGTATTTGCTTCTCTTTAGAATCAGATACGGAACAATTTCCAAATAAAATTTGCGATAATATTAAATGCAGAAAACATTTTCATACCAAATGTTTGCTACAAGTACGTCAAGTTTTTCAGAAATCTACACAAATATTCCTTTTCATTCATTTATTAAATCTGTATTATTATTTCAGTGGTTACAAGCAGTAGCTGGGAACCAGGTTGCATTTGATCACTTACATGGTTCCTGTCCTCATTGTGAAGAAAATATATCCTGTCCTATTAATTGATTTGATCAATGTGTGTGTGTGTGTGTGTGTGTGTGTGTGTGTGTGTTTGTATGTCACATTATCATTAGATTTAAAATGAACGATTTCTGCAAGTATATTTATAACGTTAGTTTATACTTTCTTTTGAATTTAAATTTCACTTATAATTTATTATATATTATGTCCTTAGAAATGTCATTCATTTTGTTTAATACATATCTAGTATATATATTTGAATTTACGAAAAGCTCTATCATTCTAGATAAAATCTAGGACTACATTGTACTAAAATTCAAAATCAATAATTATTGCGTCATAATCAAATCATCGTAATGAAAATAAAAAGTGTATATTTGTTAATGTGTATTAAGTTCTTATTAGTGCTATCAACGATCGCAGATAAGAAAGAAATAGTAGTGAAATTTGAAAAAGCACCATTTAAAATTGATCCATTTACAAATGCCCTGCTTAAAATACAATCATATGAAAATTTATGTATGTACTATCAGATGATTGATTTCAAAAGATATCAATTTTATATCCATTTAAAGTTATAAATATATTTTTGTTATTATAGGTAGAAAATTGTTTTTAAATCGTCAAGAAAATCATGACAAATTTCTTCAACGTTTTGACGAAGAAGATAATTATTATAATAAATTGATAATTATTATAGACTTTATTGAGCATCTAGTAAAAGACATTGAAAACAGTGTAACATTATTAGATAATACGAAATCTTATTTTATGAAAAGCAATGGAAGTCTAGCACGGGGAAATTCTATTTTAGAAAGTAAGTTGTATTGACACAGAAGTTATATTAGAATTTACAAAAAAACAAAAAGCGAAAACAAACATAACATTATTGGAAAGATGAATATTTATTTGTCATTTGTATTAATTTTATAGCCTTATATCTGGTATCGAAGCAAATTTCAATTTTTGAAAAGTTTATTCGTGATCTCTCAAATGTAGAAACACGAGATGCGCTATTTCCGGACAAATTGAATGAAATGATTGTATTACCTTTGCTATATACTAATTTAATGAAAGATACGGTGGATGAAAATATTATTGATACTCTCGTTTCAATTAAAAACAGATTAATAGAAACAAGATTTACAATGCAATTAAATAAACTAAATGTGGATCGGAATACAATGAAGAGTGAATTATGAAGATTTTGGTGATAATTGAAAAAAAAAAATGTCTATTAATATATTCGATTTTTCTAATATTGAATATATAAATAAATCTTATATCATCTGAATACATGTATATGGGAATAATTATTTTCTCTTGACCATTGTTCAATCGAATGATTAAATTCATCAGTTCCACATATTAAAATTAACGTTGTATTTGGTTTTTGATTTCGTTGTAGGTAATTATATACTGACTGTTTAGATAAACGTTCATTTTCAATATTAATACCATGAATACTTTGATTGGTGTCTGAAACTAAATCTTCTGATATATGTAATGTGCATACAAAATTCCAATAATCTGCTAAATTTTGAAGTTCTTTTTTTAAAGGTACACACGAAATTGATTGAAAACCAGCAATGAAATTTATTTTCGTTTCTTCTTCTTCATTTTCAACAATAACCTTAGCTATAGGATAAACTGCTGTAATTCCAGATCCAATAGAGAACATAATGATCTCGTGGAAGCTATAATAAAAGAACAAATAAACATGATACATTGTGATTTCTGATAGTATACTGATATATATCTAATAATAACACACCTATTAATGTTATATATAAAATCCCCATATGGTCCTCTGATTTCAAATTCGTCATTCTTCTTTGCATTATTTAAAAGCTGACTAAATCTTCCTGATGGGTAGACTTTTATTAAAAGCATCAAACTTGTTTCTGACCAAGAAATAGGTGTGTAAGCTTTCGACATAGAACCATAACGTAATATAATATATTGTCCAGGAATTAGGTATAAGGATCTATTATTATTAATATTACCTTTAATATTATTACGAATTAATATTAGTACGAATTTGTAATGAAATCTTAAATGAGATATTTATCAAATAAACACGACTGAGAAGCAGCTACCTTTATATTCTAACCATAGAAAAATATAATCTTTCGATGCTTTATAATTGTCGCTAACTACGAAAGTATTCAAAGATGTTGGAGATATTACATTTTTCTTTCTTTCTATAAGTATGTTATTTTTCTTTCTTTCTTCCCATTGTTTTAATAATTTTTCATAAACATCCAAAATGCAAGGATTACATCCACTGCCACAGCAACTTTCTTTTGGAGGAGTTTTCGGTCGATTATCAAAAATGTCTTCATTTTCATTAGAAATCATTTTTAATGTAGAAACCCTTGTTGTCATTCAACTTGTACAATGAAACAATACATAATTTCTTATCATTTAGTTAATTATAAATTTATACACATGAGGTATTTTTATTATATTTTTAATTAGTCTATCAGCAGTTGCATATGCGCATGCTCACAATTCAATACAAATTTTCATTTATCAAGAAGAAATATAACTGCTGCAAAATATCATTATTTTTTTTTTTATTATTATGTTTCTATTTGTATTAATACATTTGACTAAGGAATTAGTTTGTTATTTATATACGTCCTTAGAAGTGTCAAGTCCTCAACTTGCCTTATATACATCTAATATATTTACATTAACGAAATAACATCATTCTACATTAATTATAATATACATCTTTGTTTAGTCATCATGGAAATACAATTACTTTATATTCATTTTTTGTTAGTGTTAGCAACGTTTTCATATGCGAATGAAGAAATTTCACATTTTAGAGAAAAACAAATTGATGGAAATCCAATAAAAATTGCTATACTTCATTTGCTAACAAATAAAGACAACTGTACGTACTACAAGATGATCTTTAATTATAATACTTTATTTCAATTTGTATTTTATATTCCATATATTTTTATTACAGTGAGAGAAGAGTTTGGTAAAATTAAAAAAAATCATGCAGAAGCTGTTTTTCATTTAAAAAAACAGGATACATATCATCTTCAATTTGAAATGATTAACGAGTTGCTCACAAATACAATAGGAAACATTGAGGAATATATATCAATGTTAAGTAATGTCAATTCTAGTCCTATTGATGAATCTATTTCAATCAGAGAAAAAGTTATAAATGGTAAGTCCAATTGATTAATGCTTTATACTTACTTATATTTGCACAAAAAATGTCATTTGTTGTTGTTGTTGTTGTTGTTGATTTTATATACATATATATATTTATAGCCCTCTTGTCAATATTGTATGAAACAGTTTTTTTCGGAGATATAATTTATAACTTTCCGGATACAACTAAACACATTTTAAAATTTGAAGAGAAGAGGCTAAATATACTAACTTGGTCTTTGTTATATGCTGATTTTATGCAAGAATTGTTGGATGACATTACCGTTGATATCATTTCTGAAGCTCAAGCACGACTGCATAAGATCAAATCTGAACTTAAATTGAGAAAAAGAAAATTCATCAAATAGCGTAGTTCTCCGATATTAATAAATTATCAGGTATGAACATTTCTTTTTCAATGAAATAGCAAATATTTCTCAAGCTGTTTTATATAATTAAAATAAATTTTGCAAAAACATTTATACTCTGTTTATTTTTCCACTTAAATTCAACACTGGCAGGAATCTTTTCTAACGTTATGTATGTTTGTATTAATGTTTAAAATAATATATACATTTCCTTTTACAAAAGGACATCATTCTAAATTGAACTTATTGTTAGTTTCTCAATAATATCTTCCTTGTAGGGATTCCATGTGAATTATTATGCGAATAGAATGCAGCTGCAGTGACAAAAAATAATTTAGACAATAATATGTTTAAAGGTAAAAATAATAATCTTGTTTGAATTACGTTTCATTCATGTATTTTATTACCGACTGGTAAAATATTTGTCACCATCTAGCGGTAATAACTATTACTTTATTTTACCGACCGGTAAGATGTGTGTCGACATCTAATCGGAAAAGCAGTGTACTACTTCTTACTTCATGCGGCGAACTTAAGAACTACTATTCGAGTCAAAACAAACCTTTTATTGCTACGTTTTAGTTTAAAATCGTTCTTGTTCTTTTTTATATAATTATAATCTTTATTGAAAAATATTTTAATTAAATCGACAGACATTTAATGTAATAAATATTATTATTTTATATCTTCTACTTGTGGAAATGTTTTGACTAGACAGTAGTCAAAATCCGGAAATCGTCACAAACTAAAGTGTCGAATACCTTATGGCCTTTCCTTTTTGCTCCCTGATTCAAGGAATACACGAGCGTAAGTTTTCAGATAAAATATTCAATATTGTACCTTTTTTTATTCATTGGTAATATAACAATAATATTAGTATGAAAGGTTCAAAGTATTTTTATATTTAAAACATCAGTATGTTTTGTGATTATTATTTAATATCGTTCAATAAACAATTTAACACTGGTCTTGACGCATGGTAACATGTTTTTTGTTATTGCCTCCTGTAATATTCTATTAAGAATTCATCAAGGCTTTAATTCAATTTATTTAATTTATTTAATTTATTTAATTTATTTATTCGACTAGAATATAATTATTTATTATATGTCTGAAATATTTTCTACACTATTTTCTACACTAATAGATATCAACTGAATTTGATTTATTATTTAGTTATTTTTTAATTTACTCGGTCTAATTATATTGCTAAAAAGTCTGTATATTATTTAATTGTTATTATTGATACTATTGTTTTCTTTCAGAATCACAATGCCGGATATAGAATCTTTTGATGATGTTGTGGTAACTACAACCTCCACTATACCTGTCGCACTTTCTGCCGAGTTACCAGAAATTAAATTGTTTGGTCGGTGGAATTGCGATGATGTGCAAGTCAATGATATGTCTTTGCAAGATTATATTGCTGTAAAAGAGAAGAATGCTAAATATCTACCACACTCYGCTGGCCGTTATGCTGCTAAACGWTTTCGAAAAGCTCAGTGTCCTATCGTAGAACGCTTGACAAATTCATTAATGATGCACGGAAGAAATAATGGGAAAAAATTAATGGCTGTCAGAATAGTCAAGCATGCCTTTGAAATTATTCACCTTCTTACGGGTGATAATCCTTTGCAGGTAATTTTTTTGTCATAGTAGTTACTTGTTCATATATTAGTATGATTCTTATGATATTTATGATCTTCTATAGGTTCTTGTGACAGCGATTATTAATTCAGGACCAAGAGAAGACTCTACCCGTATTGGTCGTGCAGGTACAGTTAGAAGACAAGCAGTAGATGTTTCCCCATTACGTCGTGTTAACCAAGCTATTTGGTTATTATGCACTGGTGCACGAGAAGCAGCATTCCGTAATATAAAAACAATCGCTGAATGTTTAGCCGATGAACTTATCAATGCTGCGAAAGGATCATCGAATTCATATGCGATCAAAAAGAAAGATGAACTAGAACGTGTCGCTAAATCCAACCGATAAACATCATAATTTATTAAACATTTAAATAAAAATCTTTAATACATTAAATGTTGTTGATCATTGATTATTGAAAGTGGTCTTTGCATTCAAGCCGCATCAGTTTCTAGTGACATATAAAACTAATTTTCTACATCTATATTAAGACTTTATATCTATTAGTTTATTAAAGATAAACATTATGTGTATAGTACCTTAAACGTTTATAAATGAATATTTTCATTGTACATAGTGAAAGTGCGAATTTTTTTTTATAGTTTCTATATTTATTTTATATTCTATATTGTGGTATATTTAATTTCTCTTTGCTCCTGTTAAGAGTACTAAAATTAGGTTACGTTCTGCTTGATATCTATCTCCGCTGGGTGGCGCCACTGCTGCAATCAGTGTCTATCTTCAGATCTGACCTGCAGTCTCTACATAACCTGCAACGCGATAACAGTGAATAAAGAATTGATTATATTTGTTTAGAATAAAAAAACATAATATAGACGACAATGGCTGATGCGCTTAAAAAGGTACATTTTAATTGAAATCTTCTAATGTATTCTTTTGTAATATTTCTTACTTTTTAAATGTTACGTCAGTATTTTTAATTACGTATAGAATATCATATGTATGATGACATATATATATATATGTTATGTATGATTTTATTTGCACGAATATTTATGCATAATAAAACAAACTGATATTTGTAATATTTTCAGTTTACACTAACGGGTTTGAAAATGATTCACAATCCTTATGCTGTTTTGGAAGTTCTTGACCGTAAAATATTAAATGGATTGCAAAATTTTCCAGAAAATTATACTTATCGAAAGTGTACAGAGCAAATAATCAAAGAACGAAGGGAGATTTTAAAAAATGTAATTTATTACTCTTTTTTACACTTCAATGCTTTATAATATGTTATCATTTTGATTTGTATTATATCATTTGTTATAGAACAAGGATAGAGAAGTAGCAGCTGAAAAATTAGGAGTGAAATACCTTGAAGAAGTTATCGAACAAGCCAAATTAGAATTATCATTGGTACAAAGAATGAAAGTATGGAAACCATGGGAAAGTTTAATTGAAGAAGCTCCAGCCGATCAATGGAAGTGGCCACCGCACAAGTAAATTTATTTTATTTACAGGCAACTCTATACAGAATAATAATTTATATATATTATATATATATAATATATATACATATATAATTGAATATATTTGTATATATTATATGTGTGCGTGTACACTCAAAGTAATACGTGTAGTAATAATGTATTATAAATTATAGGCGCTACAATTTTCCCAATTATTTTGTCTCTTCAATTTGCCAATGTGTAATTAATTCTATTCGATAGATTAAGTTAAAGTTTAAAGTTGTCGTAGGAAAACATTTTTATAATACATATAAGTTTGTATTTTGTCAATTAGAATCATTATTCGAAAGTGGTGTTTTAATTTTCGATTCTTTGTAGACTGCAATTAACGAGCCAATCAAGTTTTGATTCTATAACACGATGTAAACTTTCATAAGAATTTGATACTCTAATTAATGTTAGATTTTAATGTAATAAGAATTAGGAGGTACTTACTTGTGTTAGTATAATCTACGAAGTTCGACTGGTTTTATATCCTGTATCATCTTCCGTTTGGAAAGTGGTACACGCTTGGTGAGTGGTACACGCTCGTAGATTGATTGCGATTGTCGCGGTTCGCATATGGATAAAACATTCCTACGAATGCTTAAGCTAAGGTTCGCGAATATAAATCACAAAAACAAATTCTTCATTCGCAGACAAGTTAAAGCTAAAGTATGTTATTCGATGAAAGCGGATTTATTAAGTTGCTTGAAAAATCTTTAAACGTAGACCTACTTAACGATCAAGACGCGCCTTTGTTTTCGTCATTTGGAATTATTTAACGAATTGAACATTTAGTTATACTGTAATATACTGTATATATAATATTCTATTGATAGAATTTTTCAATCGAATGTTTGCAATTTCTATATGTGGTTCGAAGAACACCTCTCTCTCTCTCTCTCTCTCTCTCTCTCTCTCTATACAGGTTTATATCTGACATTTGATTACAGTAATAGAGTAGTATAACGCGTGTTTCTTCACTTTTCATTGTTTCATCTTTATTTCTCCGTTCATTTTTTTGCACGTTATCTATTCTATTCATCAGACTCGCAAGATTTCATCCACGTGAATGGGAAAGGTTTAGAGACTCTTGACGATTCCTCTTCAAAGTTTCATACATAATACGATGCTGTATGCGATAATAATTCGATAATCATAATTAGTCGTGTTTTTCATTAAATTTTATGACATTCGAAAAAAAGGAAAAGGAAAAGGAAAAGGAAAAGGAAAAAGAAAAAGAAAAGTAAAGTTGTCCGTAGATCGGATCGATTGGATTTGTTTCTTACCAAAGAGAATGCGTAGTTCGATACCGAGAAAGAAGAGAAAAAAGGAGAAAAAGGAAAAAAAACTCTGACTGCTCGAGATTAACGTAATATCCGTTCTCGCGAAAGTGGACCCTCTTGTAAAAATCTTGGTGGTCCCACCAAATGGTTATTCTTTCGTCGTGAGGAACATCGTGATTGGTTCGCGTGGGGGCTAAGTGCATCGACGAAAAAAGAAAAGGATCGCCCGGAGGCTTTGTAATTTTGCGCTCGTCCACCAAAAATTTGCTGACCAAGGAAGCGAACATGGAGAATGGAGATGATGGGGAGGTTCGAAGAAGATCGTTGCAGGTAATACACACCCCTCCCCCTCCCCCCCTCCCCCCTTTTGCCCTTATATATTATGTATTGTAAATATGCGTATGCGCGTAGAAGAAAATATTAGTTGTAATTTATTGTAAAATAAAGAGGAAAGAGATGCACCGTTGTACGTGGGGAGGGGGAGATAAACAACTGCGCAGGAGAGAGAGAGAGAGAGGGTTCTTGATCTCGATTAGGAGAAGCAGCGAGCGCGCCGCTCGCACTTGCTTTCAAGACATCGACGTGGTAACGCTGCGCACACTGCGCGCACACTGCGCGCACTCTTCGGATCTCTTTTATTTCGATTTAAATGTAAACACAGCATTCTAAGCGCGCATTGTAACGTCATCCACCGAGACATTTACTGGGATTATTTCAACGATTACCGTGTCCTTTTTTCGAAAGTGAGCGTTCGTTCTAAGTTTATCAAGATTTAGTGTTCGAACGGTAGGATTGTGTATTGGCATCGACCAAAAACAGCTTCGGCTTCAGCTTCGGCTTCAGCTTCAACTTTAGCTTGAAAGTTGAAAGCAGTCTTGGAAGGAGCGTGTCGGATCTTGACGTTCTCAGCAACGTGGGAAAGGGAGCGTGATCATCGGTGAGTGGAGACGACGATCTAACGTTTTACAGGAAACAAGCGTAGCTACGAATGCAGTCGTCGTATTTCCTTTTCTACGCTTTCATGCGGCCCGCCAACTAACAACTCACTTCCAAATCTTTTTCATTCAAAACTTGTTGACGCGCTAATCGGCCCGCCGTTCCTAATATTCTTTTATATCTTATACCTAATTCATTTGTAGTTACATTTAGAAAGTCGAACATTACAGATAAGAAGAAATTTTCGTTTCTTTTTAACATTAAAATCTTTCACTCGAACTGGTCTGTAGATCACGTGTCTGTTTACTTGCTGAAACGTGAAGCAAGCTGCACGCCCTATTTACAATTGTTCCCAAGTTTCACCAATGTTTCCGCATATGTAAAAAGAAGGCAGGTGTGCGTTATATTAACGGATAGATAAGCCTAGACACCAAAAGTAGTTTGTTCATTTCGACACATTGTTCGACATTGTGTGAGAGAAGAACATTTCCTAATTCTTGCTTTTAGTACTTTAACGGAATTCCAATTTACCAACAATATTGTTTGTAAATATTGGAGTAGTAGAAAAGCTGATGAAAATTGTGTAATATTTCTTCGTAGATCTTTCGTTACGTTACGCATACGTAAGGTATGCTCGATTTCTCTTGCGTTCTTTTGCGATCTTTTTGCGTCTTTTAGAGAAACAAATTAAACAGTTGTTTGATTTCAACTTCATTCAATATTATAATTTCTTTTCAAATCCTAAACATCTCCGAAGAGGAGAGGATCCTCGGAACGATCGGTGAACGATCCTCGGAAGCAGAAAACAATGCCGATGGAAACGAGCATCTTTCCGCTTGCAGCCAAACACAATGCGCGATTTTTACGACTGCCAAGGGAAAAAGATGTTATGGCTTTCTCGACAGAGAGATGGACTTATTTTGAAAAATAAAGGATGATGGAGAGGGACAAAAGTTGAATCTCTTTTGTGCGTGACCGGCACACCTTTCCTATAAATGTTTCATTTGATCTTATTCTTCGTGTATTTCTTGACTGAGGGAAACAAAAACAAACGTTTCATGTTATTGATATTGACTGAGTGTTTTTCTTGCGATTAGAAGTACACATTTAACGGAATGAGAGAGAGTTACAGAGTAAGGAAAACAAGAGAAAAAGAGAACAAGAGAAAAGATATTATTCCTGTAAGAAAAGATCGGAATCGTTACGGTGAGAATCCGTTGGGGATACAAAAGAGCGGGAAGAAGAAAGTTCACGATCCAAGTTAAAGTGCGGCCCGAGTTTGGTCGGAGTGTGTCTAACGGGGCAACGTCACGGCACGTTAACGTTCCAAGAACGCGAAGGGTCTCTTTCTCTTTCTCTTTCTCTTTCTGTCTATTTTTCTTTTTTTCCTTTATCTCTTTTCTTTTCGCCGGTCATTTTCCATACTTCGCCAATCACCGATGCCAGCCAGCATCATATTCGGTTTTTAGGCCGAGCTCCCGGAAAGCAATCGTTATTTCTTTTTCACCGTTCTATGTACGAATCTATATATTTATGTATCTACGTATTGTACAATTCTTCACCGTGCGAGACTTGTTTGTCATTCATCTGTGAATTTGCATACGGGAAAAAAGAGAGAGAACAAAAACCACACAATATTCTATAATGTTCAATTCATAGCACACATAACTTCTATTAGTATAGATAGTAATTACAAGTTTATACAAAAGTCTAATTAATTTTCAAATCAAGTAGAAACTTTTGGACCAACCCATTGTACTAATAATTATAATATATTCTACTAATTATATATCCTTAGCATAGTAATGCAATACTGTATGTATTATACTGTAATAAGTATAATTTGTAATTAGAAAATCTGAACTTTCGAATACGAATTAAGGGTGATACTTTGACAAGGAGGCAACATTGAAATTCATTGAAATTCATTGAAATTCGTTGAAATTGAAGGAAGAAGAAAAGATTTGTAAGATTTTGGAAGATAAGAAATGAAGTGGAATCGAAAGGATGTCATCGTGGGTCATACACCGGGTACGGAGAAAGCGTTCGTCCAGTGCGCTCGTCGTATAATTCGAACGTAAAGGATTGTGAGAGTTTTTCGCGCAAACAGCTGTTACTCAAAGTGGCCTCTCACGGATGCTGCTTACCGCATATCGTCGAGGTAATAACGTAACATCGTTTTGTCTACTTGTTGCCACAGATTGCATTATCTATAGAAAAGCGTTTTATTAGCAAACGAAGGAATAAGTGTATTATTTTAGTTGTATATTACTTGGGTCAACGTTCGATAGTTCTATGGAAAATGCAATCTGGTCTAGCGACCTTCGGAAAGACAGCGTACTTGCTTGCTCGGAATATGCAAAAGGATCAAGTATATACATATCCTTTTCCTCACAGAGAGGAGGGACTGACGTTTATTCAGCTATAATCTTTTACGCGCGGATCGTCTCTCATTTACCATTCAGATATTCCACTTTTTCTCATGGAATTCCGCGGCTTGTGCTCCGATCTCGATTTCTCTCGTGGGACGATGAAAAAGGTGACGGAGATTCTTGCTAAATGAATAATTGAAGAAATAAGGGCGAAGGGAAGAAGAGGAGTAGTAGCAGAGAAAGGAGACCTTGGCGTGTGCTCGGACCACCATAAAGTCTTACCTAATGTTCGAGAGCCGACGATAAGGACTACTCGTTCGTCGTGCTCAATGGCTCGAGACTTTCACGAACATTCCTCTCTTCTCGAGGAGGAGACTCGCCTTAGCCAGCGGCAAGCAACCAGAGCAACGGCAGCACCACTAGCAACTGCAACTGCAACTGCAACTGCAACTGCAACTGCAATGCACCACAGTCCCGTTCATCTTTCTCTCGCACTCGCAGAGAAAGCAACTTCTTCTTATTTTTGTTTCCGTTTGTGTTTCCGCGGGATCGGACAAGTCGCATCGCGGAAGTCCCGTTTAATCTGTCAAACTCTGTTTTACGAGCCAAAGCATCCGTTTTATTTTTCATTTCCTTCTCTCTTAGACTTTATAATTTCAAACCCTCCGGCTTTCTCGAATCGATAGCTATCCATCTAGCGTCTTATTTTTATCACGTTTTTTTTTTCCAACTTGTACGATCCGAAAGGAAGGTATTTACGAGCATACTTATATTCGACAAATAGATTTCTTCGTCCGTAAATAGCATTATGCGATAACTATGTACTTGGGTATCTTCCGTCGAGGGAAATCAGAGGTTTGGTCGGTGATGTGTTTACGTTAGAGAAAGTCGGCTAAGATGACGGATCCTTCGACAAGACAACAAACTATTTCTTTGATTTATACAAATAGATAGTATATATCTACCTACCTACCTACCTAAGATTTGACTAAACCGATAGATTAGGCTACAACTAGGAAGCGAATTGTGCTCGTTCGACAAGATTTTTCTTTTGTCAATCATTGACGAACGATGCTACGCGAGCTATATATTAAGACCGTTCGGAACGGCTTCCATGCAATATGCATCGAACCCTGAATACCGGTATTACGGTGTATTCCCGAGAAATGATTATCCTTTGAAAGGATCTGCATTCCAGCAGGCCTCTTTTTGCAAGGTCGGCCTTTATTATTCCAGCAGTGGTTGCGTAACGCCAACTCGATGTCTATACTCAACCAAAAGTTTTCCTTTTTCGGTATTATTACTTTTTCTCAAATTTTCTTTTTGCTAAAGTTACAAAATAAGCTCAGTGGCATGCAAGCGGCACGATTTCTAGTACGTCCAATCAAATTTCCTACAATTGTTACATTTTTTCTTTGACTAAAAAGTCGAATCAAAGAAATATTTTCGCATGCGTGCTCACACGTACGTATACATACAAATATATATATATGGCAACTCGTAGAAAGCTGCAGCAACTGCAACTGCAACGGCAACGGCAACAGCAACGGCAACGGCAGCAGCAGAAGCACATATCGCGTGTACGTCTCACGGCTATTTACCCTCGGTACTTACGGCTCGTTTCACTCGCGGCACGTTACGTTGTTGGCCGTTGGTACGCACATATAATTATGCCAAGTATACTCGTGTAAGATTTCTTCGAGACCGTCCATGGTAACCATTTCTGTCGGTGAGTCTTGCGGTAACAACGACGAAGATGACGACAACGACAACGACAACGACAACGACAACCAACAACAATAACAACAACGTTACTAGCATTGCCTATCTTCTACCTCTGCTTGTCTTCAATCGATCTTTAGAATAAGAAAGAGAGATAATGCTCCTACCTTTTCACCGAGTCTTTTCATACCATCATTCTAACGATAGAGATCAAATTTCCTTAGGTTTCATTACTTTTTGTACTAGTAACGAATAACTTGATATGTACTAAAGGATTCTTCATTCTCGTTACGGTTAACGTTTGATTTGGTTGTTGTTGTTGTTGTTGTTGTTATTATTGTTATAGTATTACGATATTTCGTACAAGTTTGGATAGATAAAGTAACGAATTGAGATGATTTTCGAGTTACATTCTCATGTAGAAAATGTGCGTATCATCAAGATTATAACGCAATTCGCATAGTCTTGTTCAATACGTGTGCAGGGATGCGCAAAGGGATGCGAATAAGAAGAGATTTCGTAACTTATCTTAGAAAATGATCTTGATCCCGATCGCATCCCAATCGCATCCCAATCGCATCCCAATCGCATCCCAATCGCATCCTGATCAACTGCAGGATTTATGTACGTAGCTCGATATACGATCGCTTCGATTTTTGCATCGCAGTGTAACTAACTAATACAACTTTCAAAGATATCTCTTTATATAAATACATATACATATAGATAAATATAAACATATATATATATATATATATATATATATATATATACACGTGACTAGCACGCGTGAACGACTCCTGCAAGGCGTTTTTGTGGGATTCTAATCGCGGCAACTCGTTTCGTATTATACGTGTGCCAGATAAATATATGCCTTCCTCTGGTGCTCCACGGACCACGTGCTCGG